TCAGCTCACCTTGTCCCCGTGACGCCCGCTGCAGAAGCATCTGGAACAGGAACCCATTCTTTCCTCCATCCTGGGGACGGGTGCTGCCCCACTGGGAAGTCCCTTTGTCTCCCCAAGGGAAGAGGTGCAGAGTGCACTCTGGCAGTCCATCAACTCCCCTTCTCCCCAGCACCGGGGATGGGGGCTGAGCACCTGGAGCCCAGAATTGCTCAGAAGACCATCTAGCCAGCCTTCCGCAGGGCGCTCACCGCTCCCGGCTGCGCCGGACAGTGAGTTATTGCCGCCTGTTATCTTCAGCAGCAGGTGGAGGCGTCCTGGGCTCCCTCCTGCGAGCGAAGCCAGGTACCATTTACTGGCTCAGATGAATAAGGTAACCAGCCCTGTCACAGCACAGAGGCTGCGTCTCTCACCCTAGGGTTTTTTTCCCCTTTTCTTTCTTCATTATGTTTGTAATTTTGTTTTATTATTTCCCATTGGAAAGCTGTGAAATGAAAATGATGCAATCTACTGCTGTGAAATAATGTCGTGCTCGAGTCCTTTTCCAATAAGCCCCGAGGTTTGCACTGTGACGGCTTCATTAAATTAGTCGGCTCCATGGCAAATGGAAAAGCGCTCGGAGCTTCGGATTCTGTTAATCTGGGTCGGGCTGCCTGAGATCTTAGACCACCAGGGAGCTCGGGAGGTTGGCTCTGCAGGCTGGGGAGGAGAGGTTCCCGCCCTTTGCAACGCCCGGAGGCCACCACGCGTGCACAGCTGCTCAGCATCTCCTGCAACCCTCCAACCTTCACTGCGCTCCTCTGCATGCCAGAGGTTGCCCTAGGCGCTGTCATGGGCCAACGGGACAAAGGTCTCTCCAGGGTCACAGTGGACAGCGGCTCAGTGTGTGGAGAGAGGGAAGGGAGGGGGCTTAACTCTACTGCAGGTAAATGGTGGCTGGGCGCAGGTAACGATGAGCCTCTCCTTGAAGGCCAGCCAGGACTCAGGTTGCCGGATGCCGGTGCACATGCCCGAGATGCTTGCGGACGAGATGTGAGTGCTCCCTGTCTACCTTCTCGTCACCATCCCTCAGAGTTTATGAGAACAGATTCTCTTGCTGGGCTCTACTGCAGTATTAAAGGTTTCCATTACTGATGGTTCTTGCCAGTTAGCACTTTCAGTATTAAACTCTGTCATTATAAAGTAAAATATGCATGATCTCTAAATCTATGTGTATGATAACGAGGTTTCATTGTTATACATTTGTCTTCTCGGTCCTCCATTCCTGCCTTTGCTGTCTGTTTAAAACCCTCATGTCTGATAGCTGCAGCCAGGGGGTAATTAGGGAGAGAGACTAAGAATCACAGGCTTATTCTCTTACTTATTCATGGAAATGTACCAAGTGTCTATACGAAGATGTGGCCCCACAGCCAGTGGGGAAGACAGTGCTGACAGCCAATTACTGCACTGAGGAATTCTGGTCTGAGCTGACATGGAGGCTCCCTCCCCCCACACATATAAATATTGGATAAAGCACAATAAAACAACATGAAATCACAGCTGCATTCGGAAGGATGGAAGGAAAAGTTCCCGATTCCAAAAACAAGTGGGAATTCAAAACCAGAGTGGAGAGTGAGCTGAAGGGGGCTTGCAGCCAGATGTGTATAATCTGGGCTGGGCTTTTAACTCCAAGCAGAGGCAGACACCGAAGGCCACAGCCCACTGTGGCTGGGGCCAGAAGCAAGACCGGACAGAGCTGGGTGCCTAGAAGGGCCAGGCTATCCCCACCCAGCTGGGCGAGTGGTGATGACATGAAAGCAAGAAGACAATTTGGGTCGAGGAAAGAGCATCTGCAAAAGATCAAAATCCACGCTTGTGCCAAGCATAGATGTGGGGTATGAATTCGCATCATGTTCCCACAGTGTGGAAACCACGAATGGAGAAATTGATGGATAAATTGGTTTGACATCAATGGAACCCAACACAGACAAACTTGAGCCTTCCCTGATGCATACCTCCATAACCAGGGGGTCAAGAGGAAATAACTACTGAAGATGAGCTCACACAGAGAAATTACACGGCACGTAAGAAAACAAAGTAAGTGAGGGAGTCTCCGATTCGATATGGCACTTGGCTCAGCCACCTATGCTGGTCCCAGAATTACCTAAAAACCCCCATTTCTGCCCATCGTTCCACATCATTATCACTGCGACTTGAATCTAGACACCAGAGTGTGCCTGAGGCCCCACCTCTCTTCTTTCTAGTATAAAACACACACACACACACACACGTATAGATTCCCTTTCATTTAATTTGCACACCACACCATTAAGTTACATAGGCGCCCATATTGTTCACATCTGTTCCCACCAGCCAGATGTGCTCCCGGTGAGGGGGTTTCTGCCACACCTGGACACCTCCTCACCTGGCAGTGTGGTAAGACTGCTCCAGGGTGGTGATGCTTTGAGTTCAGTTTGGGGTGTAAATCTTGTGAGCCCTAAAACTACCAAGAGTATAGGTTCTTTTTGTTTCCATAGGTCGATGCCATTGGAAAAACTTCCACTTTGACCCACAGCTACAGGTGGCCCACTGAGCTATTATTCTAGGAAATTCTGCATTCAAACGCAACCATCAGAGTTGACTTAGGACTCTAATTCAGCATCCACCAAAAAACAAAAACAACAACAAAACAAAACACCAAAACTGACCACCAAGTCACACTCACTTCGCTGTGCACATGCAGGTCACAGGTGTCCCACACCGGAGCAGTCGCCGTCCTATCAGGGCACCATCAGCTTTGTCCCGGATGGGGTTGAGGTTTGGAAGTGCTGCTGTTCTCGCTTTTTAATCACAGATGCTTCATCACCATCAGTAGTGGACAGAGAGCATGTGGATAACTACACAGTTGTAGCGACTTCTGTTTGCATCACCAGAATTTTTAACCTGTATTTTCCACTAAGGAGGTCTTTAGGACGCATGCCCCTGTACCTGAAACTAATATAATGTTACATGTCAGTTATACTTCAATAAGTACAAGACGCGCACCCGGCATCTCACGTCAACCACCACATGTCCACTAGCAGGTTACCCTACACATCCTTCATTCTTACCCCAGGTCCTTCCCTAGTAGGAGGGGAACGGTGGCATCGCTGAGCATTAGTTCTCCTGCCACATGGGAAGCAGCCGAGATTAAAAATAGCTGTCCCCTTGGGGCAGGGGCATCTACTTCTATTTCCCTGGGTGTTTGAGACAGACCTACAGCCACCTGCACTTTGTGACTCTTTTGGGGTAAAATGTAAGTAAAGTCACTTCCTCTTGGGCAAGGAATCGTTCCAATCATCCATTTAGGAAAGCAGTCACTGGGTGCTTGCTGTGCCCGGCCCCGTGCTGGGAATAAAGGCAAGAGCCAGTTTTCCTGCCACCAGGGAACTTAGGGACAGGCACATACATGGAGAGACAAGAGGACAGGTGAGGACAATGCCAGCTCCTTTTGTTATTTTAGCGCAGTGCTGCATCTTCTACTCGGGGAAAAGGGCGCTGATGAACCCGTCTGTTCTTTCTTTCTTCTCTGCAAGGATGGCTTAACCTCTGTGGACACATAACTTGAGAAGCCATCAGAGCGTCATCTTCCACAGATGTCTTGTCCCATGGCCTCCTTTTCTTTTCACAATGGGGACTGAAATAGTCCCACAAAAGAGCCAACTCATAACTCACAAAGGCAAGAGGAGGACCGCATAAGCAAATACAACCACCAGAGGAGATTCAGGGCCTGTGCACTCAGCTCTCTACTCCCACACCTGCAGCCTGTCAGTCATGCATGTCTAATGATGAGCTTGGATAACTGCCAATCACTGAAGGCTTCCTGGGTGAAGGGGAGATGGCCATCTAGGGTATAATAGGATTCTAAAAGGGCCCCCGAATGACCCCTATTTTCCACCGTCGGCTCTCTTGTGCAATCCTCTCCCCTTGGGCGTGGGCTGGGCCTACTGACTTGCATCTGTGGAATAGGATGTGGGGAAAGTGATGGGAAGTCACTTTCGAGATCAGGTTATAAAAGGCTGTGATTCCCGCCTTGCTGGCACACTTGGGGAAGCAGGCTGCTGCCTTGAAGGGGCCTGTGTGACAAGGAACGGAGGGAAGCTTCTGGCCGACAGCCCATGAGGAACCGGATCCTGCCAACAACCACTGAGTGAGCCCAGAGCAGATCCTCGCCCGTTGAAACTCAAGATGACTGCAGCTCCAGCCCTCTCCTTGTGACCGTAGCCTTTCAAGTCATCCTGACGCTGGGGACCCAGTGAAGCTGTGCCTTGATTCTTGGCCCACAGCACCCAGGAGAGTGTAAATGTGTGTTGCTTTATGCTGCTAAGCTTTGGGGTACTTTGTTACTTAGCAATAGATAGCTAAGACCCCAGCTGATCAGTTTGTGAACTTACCTTGGCAGAGAATGTACAGGCATGTTTTGGGAACTTTTAAACGATACAGATTGGTTTGTCTCTTAAACACTAGTTAATAAGATTGGACAACCACCAGACACAGAGCACACCGGAATTGATTAGAGAAAGAATCCTTTACATTGTGGCTGCAGACGATCAGGGCCCACGGAGCCATAGGACAGTGATTCCAACCTGTGACAGGAATGGGGCTCAGCTGAGGAGCCTGGACCCGACCCTGGACCTACTGAAGCGGGATCTCCGCAGGCGGAACCTAGAGCCCTGAATAGATGCAATTTTCCCAGATGAGACAGGCCAGGTATCCCTGGGTAAGAACCACCGATGAGCTCCTACTACCAAACCTGACACAACAGGAAATGAAGGGCCGGAGACGTGACAGGTCTTCTTAAGGTCACACAGCCAGTCAGTAGCAGCCCAGGTCTCCCACCGCCCTGTTCTCTGCTCTCTGCTTTGCCCACCTGCCGCAAGACCCCAGACCCCCGGGCGCCCACTTGATGGAGAACTTGGCCCAGCCCTGAGCTAATGTAAGGAGAAACAAAGTAAGAGATACACAGACAACTGCTAAGGTTCATTTATTTGTTTCAAAACCACCTCCACTCCTCAGCTTTCAATTTAGCCCTGGCCTTGTGACAAGAAGGCTTTTCTCTCTGGCCTCTTGCGTAAGGAAGAGAAAACACATTAACATTTCCCATCACATCTCTGTCGCCAGACACCATTCAGGGGCAGACCGGGCCAGGACTGGAACTTCGTGGCATTGAGAACGTGTGGCTTGCAAGCTTTTCCTCCATCCTCCCTGAGACATCCGCTCCTGCCCTGGGGGGCTGTGCCTCCACCTCCCAGCTCAGGGCGTCTGCAATAATCATGGGTTGCTTGCAGCCTGATCTCCAGTCTGCTTCTCATCGGGGAAGTGCCACGCCACGGCCCCGCTGGTTCTGGCATGGATCCTCAATGGCTCTCCATGTCCCAGTGCTGGCTCATGAGTGAGGACTCGCACGGGTTGACAACGACTTCCCTGTCGTTCTCAGTGCTGTCACCAAACAAGTCTGTGTCTAGGCAGAGGTGAGAGGCCATGTGCTCGATGCGGGAGCCAGTCTTGGTCCATTGCTGAGAAGACGGAGAGGAGAGAGGATGAGCCAGGATTCTCTGGCGAAGGCCGGGTCCTATCAATAATACGAGGAGTTCCCGCAGAATCAGAAATGCTTAATTTCTGATTTAAAAGGCTAGGGTCACCTCGAGACCTGACTTCACGGTCTCATGGAGAAATAAAACTGCAACTAATTGCCTTGCCAGGTATTATTGTTGTTTTTTTAATCAGATAAAAAAAAAAAGTAAAGCAAAATCAATATGTTTGCTAGGAAAACTCATTAGAAGGGAATAACCTTCCAAGCAATAAGCTAGAAAATGCGAAGCAAGTTAGTCACAGGAGCAACCAACGAAATGATCCGCGTGGGTGTCTGCATGGTCACGGGGACAGGGGAGTGAGGGGGATGGCGATGCAGGAGGGGTGGGGTTCCAGGGCAGCCTGGAAACCTCTGCTCCTTCAAAGTGCTTCAGCACATGGGGGCCAATGGGGGGGGGGGCGCGTCTCAGGTTGCTGCTTCCCACCTTGAAGGACAAGCAGGGAGGGAATGGATATGTATTGGGAGATCACCATCTCAGATAATTTCTCTAAACAGCTACCCCGTGTGGTGGGCATCAGTTCCATCTCACAGAGGAAGGAACTGAAGCTCAGAGAGACCCAGTAACCTGCCATGGGTCACACAGTCAGTGAGACATAAAACGGGCATTGGAATCTGTTTCCCTGGTGGGAACTGGGTGAGGCCAGCACCCGGCAGCTGGAGGACTTGCACACATGGCACATAGTACTGGGAGTGCTAGGAACTTGGTGGACATCCTGCCTGAGTCCAAGGCCCCGGAAAGTCTGAGCCTTGCTCATCCTTGTGGCCCTGAAGGCTTTGTCCTGGTCCTCTCCTGCTTGGGCTCCCAGGAAGGCATCAGAGCAAGACAGGATAGTACAAGACACACATGCACGCTGCAGCCCAACGAGGTCAACAGACTTTCACGTGCCAAGTTGGCCATGGCGGCTGGCACCACGGAGGCATCAGAGGCAGCATTTTGTCCCTCTCCCAGCCACAAGGACCCCTTCTTACCAACACTCCCTCTTAGACCTACCCACCGGGGCAGGCACTGTGCACTTACCTGTTTGTCATCTCCATTCTTGCAAAGGACAAGAACCACTGGGGCGCCGGGGAAGAAGGTGATGACGGAGAGGCACAGCTCTTCCTGGATGATCTGCTGGGTGTACGTGAAGGCCCAGATCTGGAGGGAAGAGGCCAGGAAGTGTCACGTGAGGATCCTTGGAAGCCACCACTGGTGGGATACCACCGTGCTTACGTGCGACAGGATGGTTTGGTAAAAAGTACCCGGGGCTGGACAGGAATCAATCGTCCATCAAAGGTCACCTTAGAACATGCTACCAAAGAGCCAGAAACTCTTAGGTCACATCCCCAGTGCAGTCTCCATCCCTACACCCCATGGGGGGACCGGCCGGGGCGTACAGGCCACTTCTGGGAGGGGCCGAACAACACCCGAGCCCAGCTGAGCTGCATGGTCTCCAGGTTCTGTGTGGATAGGTTTCTGTTCCTCACACTGGAAAGTTCTAGCAGCTACCTGGCAGGTCACCCCCCAGCTGTCTTTAGAATCTCCCTTCTTCTCTGAAAGGGAGTCTAAACCAGGGTCCTGGGAACAGGAGGCAGACGGAGAGACAAAGGAACAAAGCAACCCAAGGGAGGCAGTGGAAGAGGAGCCCAGTGGGAAAGAGGAAAGTCCTGAGAAATAAAATTATTCCAAGAGGCTGCATGTGCTCCGGCACCCAGCAGCATAGATCCCCGGCGCCCGAGCGGCTGCAGGGAGAGAAGTTGAGGAAGCGGACGGGCAAGCAGAGCTCTGATGACAAAGGAGAAGGGGGTCGTTACCAGGGATGCTCCTCACGTATTTCCTCCAAGTGCCAGAGATCAGAGAGCAGCTGACTGCCCCGAGAGCCCACACACTTCCCAGTTCTTACACCAGGGGGCGAAGGGGCCGGCATAGTAATGCCAAAAGGTGAACCTCCCGGAGGTTTTGCCCAGGCTGGTAAGTGGGGAGATCTGCCCTTTGCCTTCATCACGGGGCGAAGATGATTCCTGGATTGGATGCCCCGAGGGGAGCTACATGTCCATGCTTGGTCACTGTCCTCTAAATGGTCCCCCTTGGGTCTGGGTGTGTGCGAGGGACACAGTCCACCTCGGGAGGACCGGCCCAGGGGTGAGATCCACGCAGGTCCTGAAATCAGACTCGGGCCTTGGGTGAGGGATTCAGGGTCCTAGACGTCTGGAGTTGATCTAGAAGGTGGGACCAGGTCCTGGGTGTTGACCCAGAGAATTCCTTGCTCTGTTAGGAAAGGAGAGAAGCGCCCGGGGCCCAGCCAGGGTAGGACCGCCAGGGAGTCATTTACCTGGGCCCACCTCACCTCTAGCCTTCTGCTAGCGTCTGGAAATGAGGCTAAACACAGTCACCGAAGTGGAAAGATAAGGGTTATCCTCTGTCCCTTGACCCCACCTCAGAGCTATGCCTTAGCATTTTAATGATAACCCTGCAATTATCTGGTGATCGCCACCAGACACTGGCTTTGTACTTTTCACATGAAAAGGATTAACTGGGTCAACAACAAACACTTAAAAACTGTACCCTAATTTCTGAAAGCCCATTTTGGCATTTCTTTTTTTTAATATCCTAGTGGCTTGGAAAACTGGAAGTGCTAGGGATGGAGTGGAGGCAGGTGGAGTGGGGGTGGTTCTTTTAACATCTGAGACACCCTAAACACAAACACCTTTTGGGAGGGAGTGTATAGGGCAGGGGTGGGCAACCCCTGGCACGTGTGCCAAACATGGCATGCCAGTAACTTTTGCTGGCACTCGAAACCCTCTCTTATAATCTTCCATTTACAATTTTTTTCTTAATATCGACTTTTTTATTTTTCAGATAAATTCAGTGTAGGTGCATCTTAGATAAATAAATAATTTTACATAACATGTATACATTAAAAAATAAACGTATTTTTCATCATCATATACTGTTTTTGTCGCTCGAATGAATTTTATTATTTCTTCAAGGTTCTTCACATACGTATATCTTAAGAGATATCAAGTAAGTGTAACATGTTCTCAAAAAATTAGGGTTGGCACACAGAAGAATTTTGAGTCAGAGATTTTGCTGGCTTTGGCACACACTCACAAAAAGGTTGCCCACCCCTGGCATAGGGTATACCCCTGGGATGCCACCTCAAGACTCCCACAGACAGGGATCGAAGCCTTTTCACTAAGTGGACTTTCCATTAGTTGGTGCTTTACTGGCATTGAAATAATTCAGCCTCTGAATTTCCCAGAGGAACACGGCTCGATGGCCACATCTGCAAGAGAGGAGATTCGAGGGGTGGGGGGTGCTAGGACACAGGAGCGGGGGCAGGGAGTGAGGAGGGGGGTTTCCAATTCCCACCCTGCAGACTTCCTTCCCAGAATGGCCGGTGATGAACGGGTTTATTAAGCAAGTCCCGGAATCAGAAATGGACTCAGGAAGGCCACAGCGGTTGCTCAGATTGGTCTGGCCTCGATCTGTAAGTGCTGGGCCTCTGCTGATGGCTCTATTTGGGGGACTGGCTAAGTCGAAGCCCCCACTTCCAGTGCACACAGGCACAGTCAAACCCATGGAAGGAAACCCAGATGCCATCCTGGAGGCGGCATGGGTGGCCTTGTTCCCTTTGGAACAGGCTGGTAAGCGGCTGAGGAGAAGGGAGCTCTCCCCAGGAAGAGGGGACTGGTGATGGGGAGAGGATGGTCCAGGCTGGACAGCTTTGAGGCCCCCTGTGCTCAGAAGTCCCTGGAGACAGCCGCTGCAATGGGAGAGAGAAGAGACCGCCAGGCAGTGGGCAGGCTTCTCTAGCAAATGCGTATCTGGCTGCAGCTGTAAAAGCTGGTATGAAACAGGCCTCCCCAGCCTGGGGCCTACTGTCTTGCACTGGATGGAGAAACAGAGTTAGGGGGCTGTGTTTCCATTAAGGCAGAAGCCCAGAGCATGTACTGATGGTGGCGAGTTTCCCATTCAAAACTCCTTCTGTGTGGGAAAGAGTGAACCACTGAGAAGAAACACGGAAAGCCAGGGGCAGCGCTGCCAGTCAGGCTGTGGCGAGACGGCCAAAACAGCTCACTCACGGGACCTGTCAGTCCCAGGCGCTCACATTCTTGTCTATTTCATCACCAACACCTACGCCTGGGAGGAAGGTACAACTGAAAGGAAGAACGTCCACTACTGAGGTCAGTGTTACTCCGGGCAATGCCGGAAGCAGACCCCGGGGTAGACCGTGAACATGGGACCTCCTTGGTAAGATGGGATCTGAGCTGAGTAACCAGGGCCACTGTTGGCCTCGAGTCTCTAAGCTCACACTGGGCAGCACAATCGACCAGCAAACACGCCCTCGAAGCTTTTCAGACAAGGAGTCTAGAACGAACAAGTGGCTTCAAGTGAAACTTTAGTTCAGCGGACCTTTCGCTGCACCCGGATCCCTGAAGGAGCATCCAGATGTGCCGACTGCCGGGCTGGAACCCTGGCTCACCCGCTCATCAACCCTGTGAACTTGGGCAAGTTTCTTAATTCTGCATCTCGTTCCCTCATGTGGAAAATGAAGATACAATCATCCCTACTGCAGAAGGTCATTGTGAGGAACAAACGGGTAAATACATCTCCGTGTGCAGAGGGTGCTGGCCTCAGAGCCAGTGCTAGTTACTGAGATGATGGAGGAAGCCAACAGGGAGAGAGAGGGCCCTAGAGGTTTTCCTGTAGAAAACTGCCTTTCTTTGCCTCCCGGGAAAGATGGAGAGGCGGCTGGGAAGGGGCCACTCGCAAGGTGTACTGAGAAAACTCAGGGAGAAAGGGTGGCATCGGGCAGGGGAGGTGACATGCTGGCAACCTGTCCCACAGGCAGACTCCCCTCCAGGAGCCAATATGAATCCAGGTTTGGGGGAAGAGCCTTTATCTCCATCTCACCCACCCAGGGTATTCAGCTGCCACCAGCCAGTAGCCTAAATGGCTGGGATCCAGGTAAAAGAACACACTCAGAATTTTTTAATTTATGCGGTTTCCCTTTCTTTACGTTGGGATAGCAACTAGATTGGTGCATGGGTCTTCCTTCCAGGGAATCCAATAAAGTCAAGAGAAAGCTTCTCAACCTGGAGGCGCCTTGGGCTTCACACGATTACAAACTGACGATGGATTTCTCTTGCCTTCTAACCAAGGCGCCGGTTTGCCCACATTTTCAATACACACCCCGATTACACATTTGCTCCCAAGGTCGACAAGCCAGCCCCGACAGGGAGGTGAGGCGGGTGAAGGACGAGTGGGGCTGAGGGGAAGCAGGGACACAGCCAGCATCAGAGCAGAGGACAGATATGGTCTGGTAGTTCCTTGCAGTAACGAGGAAACCCACGGGCCTCGCCACACGCCACCTGGCCAATGAGTGGCCAGATGGGAGCAGGACTCAGAGCTCTTGGCTCCCACAATCTGGTGCTCTTTCACCTCAGATGTGTAGGACCCCGAATCCCTCACCCACGTGGCCCGAGTCTGACTTCAGGACCTGCATGGGTCAGTCCTCCCGAGGTGGACTGTGTCCCTTGCACACACTCAGATCCAAGGGGGACCATTTAGAGGACAGTGACTAAGCATAGACATGCAGGCTAGGAGTTCACCATGGGGGACAGAGCCAGGGATGGGAAGAAAAGGGGGGTTGTCTAGGCTGGAAGCCAGCACCATGTGTGTCCCCTGGTCTGGTGTGGAGCCCCCGAGTGTGGGCCTCGATGCCTTACACTGCCCAGTTCCCAGCAAGGTTCCCTGCTCTCTGGTCTGCCCCTCCCAGTCCTAACATGGGGTGTGAGTGTTGTTTCCCTCCTCAGAGGGGCTGCCATTGGGAACTGGCCCAGAAGAAGAATTTTGCCAGCTGTCTCCTGTCAAAGTGGAGCTGATTTATAGCTTTAATATTTACAACCTGGAAGAGGATCTTGGGGACAGGCATCCTCCATGATGAAATTGGAATAAAAAGGTTCCAGAACCAGCCATGACTCTGGCAACAGTTGCAATAGCAAAGTGCCCAGGGCACACTGGCCAGATTTCCCAAAGCCACCTTCATCACTTCCTAGCGTGTAACCTTGGCTAATCTCTCCAAGCCCTGGGCTTCATCACCTGTAAGATGAAGATAACAGTAATACCACAGTCCCCCCTTCTCTCGGAGGATACATTCCAGGACCTCAGTGGATGCCTAAAAACTGGACCCTATATATACTATGTTTTTTTCATACACATACACACCTTTGCACTTAAAGGAAGCACTTTATGGCTTCTCCTTGGCATTTCCAAATTGCAGCATCACTACTCTTATGCCTTGGGGCCATTATTAAGTAAAATAAAGATCACTGAACACAAGCACTGTGATACCGAGATAGGGTATCCGATCACCAAGAGGGCTGCTGGGTGGCCACTGGGTGGGGAGCATGTACGGTGTGCTATGCTGGACAAAGGGATGGTTCACGTCTGGGACGAGGCCCTAGATTTTATCATGCTACTTAGAACCATGCACAACTTAAAACGTATGGGTTGTTTCTTTCTGGAACTTTCCATTTAGTATTTTTAGACCACAGTACCTGAAACCATGGAAAAATGAGACCGTGGGTAATGGGGACTACTGTACCTACTTTATAGGGCCTCTCAGAGACAGAAAAGGTGGGAGCAGGAAAGAGGACGTCTGAGTCATGTGAAGGGCTGAGAAGCAGACTGACTCCCTTTGGACAGGCCCAGAGGCAGGGCAAGTAGAGACGGAGGAGGGAAGAGGCAAGGCAGGGGGAAGCGGACAGAACCCTGATGCCATGATGCATTAGCAGAAGGGGTGGGAGCCAGAAAGACAGGCCTGAGTTTATGTAGAAAGGAGCAGCAGACACTGAAAGAGAGAGAGGTAACGTAAGTTTTAAAGGTGTATACGCCACACATGCACACACACGCGCACACATGGTTGGGGAACTATGCTAGCTGAAATAGTCATGTGGACTTGCATCAGTCTCAGGTGGATTCAGAATGCTTGGCCTTGCACCCAGTGCCGCTGCTGGCCATGGGCCCCTCTAGGAGAGGCTGTGTCTAATCCTCCGTGGCCCCACCTTGCAGCCCAGCGCGCAGTCTGATGGCCGGAGTCCCAGGGGCACCCCGTGTCATCAGTTGGAGCAGACTGCACATCCTTCCATCTCAGCGTGTTCTTCCGTTATCCTTAACTCACCCTGCTGCTATGCAAACCCAGCAGTTCTCTCCAAAGCCGAGAGACAGCTTGGCACTATTGTCTAGGAAAGAATGCTGCTCACTCGGAAGACTGTTACTATGATAACCCTTAGTTTCCCACAGATGAGCCTTCCCCACCCCCCACCTCCATTTTCCCAAAGTCAGCTGAGATAAATACTATGACCCTCTGGTCCAATAAAGTCCTGGCAACCTCTCCCAGGGCCAGGTGACCAGGGACCTCTCCCCGAGACCCAAAGAACTCCACCTCCCACTTCCGTATGTAGCCAAAGACATTGAGTACTGAAAAGCCTCCGCTTAGCTGGACACAGACGGGAAAACTCCCATCCCAGGGACGGGGGCACGCAGCATCCTGGCTGTTGGGATCCCCACGAGCAGTGCCCACACACGATTCAGAAGAGAGGGGTGTGTGTCACCTACTCAAAACATTTTACAAAATGCCACTTGAGCAAATTGTGCCATTTCCAGCCAGCCCTCCACCCAGAGCAAAACCGACACCTCTGCTTCCTTTCCTGGGTGACTCGGGCAGCCCCTCCCGTGCCCTGATGGAGCAGAGAGATGGTTCTTAGAAAAGTCAGGGCAAGTGGAGGCTGGTGGTGAGATGCTTCAAAGGCCAGACCAAGAATGTGGATTTTTGTGGTAGGCAATGGGGAGCCACTGAAGGCTGCAGAGAGATGGGGAGCAAGGATGAGGCGATAGCATGCCGGATGGGGGACGAAGGGCAAGGACTGGAGGCTATGGTTGTCATCTAACACAGTGGTTCCCAACTGGGGCAGTTTTGTGGGCAGAGGCCAGGGATGCTGCTAGACAGCCGACAGAACACAGGACAACCCAACCACAAAGAATTATCTAGTCCCAAATGTCCACAATGCTGACACTGAGGAATGCTGACCAGGCATGAGGAAGCCAAGGCAGGTGTGCAGGACTGGAATGACAGAGCCCCTCATCTCGCAGGATGCAGCTCAAGTGCAAGTCCTCTGGGAAGATGTCCCTGATTCTCGTGCATACGTTGAATACCATCTGGACAAAACTCTATCCAGGACACAGTTCGTATGAGAATGGCTGCTTGCTTGCTTGCTTCTTTGTGCATCAGATCCCTTGAGGGGCCACGGAGGCCTGCAACCTAGCCTTTCATTTCTGCATCATCACAGTTCGCAGAGAAGTAGATGTTTGCTGAGTGAGTGAATGGGTTCATAGATGGATGAAGATACAGAATTTGTGAAATCACTGAAACAGAGGAGGTTTCCAAAGCTGGAAGCATGGAGAAAATCTCCAAGAAACCACTTATAGAAAGGAACAGTGACCTGAGATCCGTGGTGAATACTCACCGTAATGGCATGAGAGTTGGAGAGAGGAACCAGCAAAGAACACAGAGACAGGGAGAATGGAAATGTGGGAGAATCTGGATCACAGAGCCCCCAGAGCCAGGAGGGACACTTGCGAGATGGGTGTACTTTAGTGCATCCAGCAGGCAAATGGTACAGAGGTTGAAGTGGGCCATGTATTTGTCAGTGACCTTTAAAAGGCCATTCTAGCATCGGGGGGAGAGGGAGTGCACTGGCCCACAGGACATAGAGGTGCTATGTTGATGAATCACTAAGGCACCAGAAAACCTTTGTGATAAGGGGCGATGTGGTTCCTCCAGACCTGGGGGAAGCAGGAGGCAGCGCCCCAGGCCTGGTGAGGGCAGGATGGGGATGAACAAGGCCCTGCTCAGAGGCGGGTGTGGCAGAGGATGCCAATAGCTTTAGCAAAGCTGACGTCACCTCCTGGAGCAGTGATTCGCAGAGCAGGCACCCCAGGCTGGAGCAGTGCCACCCAGCGGCATGCTTTTCTGTTTGCATTTCATATTCCGGAGTAGCTGTCCCACCCACCCTGCCTGACCCGGCCCACATTTACTGCCAGCAGGTTGGGCACCAATGACATCCTCATTCAACTGCTCACTGAATGGCAATTCCCTATGGGCACGATGCTGCCTGGTAAGGCATCTTTCAGAGAAATTCCATGGAACCCGGCAGAGTGAACCCCGCCCCAGAGTGAGGGGCACATACTTCTCCTGCTCCGCTGCTGGGCTCTGGGTATAACTGGACACGTGGTGTCACATAAAAGCAGGCGACAGAGGCACAAGCTCTCGAATCCCCAGCCAGTGACTCACCTGGGACTTTGCATCCTCGCCTTTGATCTTGACACAGGGCCTTAACTTGAGGTTGGAGACCTCCTGGTTTTTCTGCCGTTGAGACTCCAGGCACTTCTGGCGCTGTCGGATAGGGCCCTTCTGGATGGAGGAATCCTTGGGGACTCTAGGGGAAAGCCACAGGAGAAGTGGGAATCTGCTGCTCTTGGGACTTGAACACTAACTAGCAGTGAAGAGGTGGGGGCAGTGTTTAGAGCAGCGGTTCTCAACCTGTGGGTCGCGACCCCTTTGGGGGTCGAACGACCCTTTCACAGGGGTCGCCTAAGACCATCGGAAAACACATATATAATTACATATTGTTTTGTGATTAGTCACTATGCTTTAATTATGTTCAATTTGTAACAATGAAATTGGGGGTCACCACAACATGAGGAACTGTATTAGAGTGTTGTGGCATTAGGAAGGTTGAGAACCACTGGCTTAGAGAATGGCAGGGCATTTTGCCCTGAACTCTGCTAGGGGAGAGGATACCCCCAGGAATAAGTTAGCCAGGAAAGACCCCAGAGCCAAAGGTCAGATGGAGCTGGAATGGAGCCAACCTTCGAATTCTACATCTTCAAGTCACACCCAGGGCTCAGACCCCAGCCATTGAGAAACACTGGTCCTTGTTAACCTCAGTCCCTCATGCTACTGGTTAATATCACTCCTCTGCTGATTTGCAGGATAAAGGGGAGCTAATTGGATTTTTCTATATACATACACCCCGCTGGCCACAGGCCGTCCCTTATCCAGACCGAATCAGCGAGGGCCTCTCTTTGCAGCCACAAAGGCTCACACAGTAGGGCAGATACCTGAGTTCTGGGTAGACATTCTCCAGGTACCACTTGAAGCTCTGGCACCGTAGTTTCCTCCTCAGGTCCAATCTGCTCTCAATGCTGGGGGCAGAGAGGATGAAACACGCTTTGTCAGAGACAGGGGCTGGGCTGGGAGGCACATGGCACACCCTGTGCCCATGCTCGGCGCCCACATCGCTCTGGGGGGGCACTGGAAAAATGAACTGAGAGATTTCTAGAGCTCCAGACAGCGCTATGGAAACACTGAGCAATAGCTCACAGTGGTGCAGTAACGACACCAAGGACTTGTGCTTTAACTTGAAAATGGATTTTGGGGGTGTTCTGGCTTTTCATTAAAAGCAAGGCTACGAGGACATTCGGTGTGTTGTAATAATTCACCATCGCACCTCTGAGTCTAGTTACTCACAAATCCCTTTTAGGATTCTGCAGTCGAAATACCAACCTCCACTGCTCCAGCCTCAAAGAATCCTCTTCTTTGGCTGGTTCTGGGGCCTTGCCATGTATTTGTTCACCAACTATTTCTTGAGCACCTACTATGTGCCAGGCATTGTGCCCAATGTGGGATCTAATGATGAGCTTTTGAGCATGAGAGAAAGGTAATGAATTGAGTGATCCCCACCCTATGTGGACGTAGGTGAGCACGCAGAGGCTGTGGGAGAAACTCAGAGTGTGCCTCTGCTTGTCAGGTCAGTGGAGGTGAACATGATGACACTGAAGGAAAAGTGGGTGTTATCTAGACAAAGCAGAAAGAGGGTGGGGCAGGAGCCCTCGTAGAGGCAGGGGACTAGCAGAGAGAGAGAGAGAAATGCATGTAAAAAAGTGAGCTAGTTCTGTGGGCAGAAGCAGTTCTGTAGGAGGTGAACATATGTGTGTGTGCAAATGTATGTGAGGGGGGATGGAAGAGGGGAAATGAGTGGGATGAGAGATGAAGATATAGACCATATCATGTCTTGTGAGGAGAGGCTCTGTGGAGGAGGTGGGTGGGACTTTATTTTAAGGGCAATGATGCAACTGATGGGTTCTGAGCAGAGCATGATGTGATGTTTGTACTTTAAGAGCGTCCTACTGATGGCGAGTGTGTCTGATGGGGCAAAGCTGGAGGCAGGGAGAGCAGTTAGGAGGCAGTTGCAGAAGCACGGGTGCTGACCATGATTTCAGGTATAAAAGTAGGGTTTGGGAATGGAGAGAAGTGACAGGTGCAAGTCCCTCCACTTCTCTCCATCTGCACCAATCCCTTACATCCAAGTACTAAAGGGACATTTCCATCTTGTCCCTCCCGGGCATCCATACAGACTGGCCCTGCTCTGTCCCAGCTATGCCTGCTGCCCCTAAGACCACTCTCTTGGCACCAGGACTTCTTACATAGCACTAACCACATTTCCTCACCAGGCTCTAAGCAACATGGGAACAGGAATGGATTTTTTTTTAAGTGCTGAATATTTTGTGTTTAGCAGGCACCTGGGTGTCTGGGTGTCAATGAGGCAGTGTTATCATGACCTGGTGACTGCCTGGATGTGAGGGGAGAGGGAGGAGTGGAGGCTGACACCCAGATTTCAGACTTGGGCAAAAGGATGTAAAGAAGAGCATTCACTGAGATGGGGATTATGGGATGAGGAGCAAGTTTAGGCACAAAGTTGGGTGAGTTCAGTTGGAACTTGAGTTGGAGGAGTCTGGAAGACATCCAGGTGGAGACGTCCCATTGAGACTTGGGTCTAAGGGACCGGAGCGCAGAGGAGAGGTCCGGGCTTAGGAACAGACGTGAGCAGCAGCAGTATACAAGTGGTGGCTGACGCCAGAGAGAATGTGCAGGAAGAAGAAGGCTTATGACAGATCCTCAGGGAAGACCAACATATAAGGGTGACAAGAGAAAACTGAGGCTGCAAACGAGATGGAGAAGGTAGAGCCCGAGCAGCAGACAAAAGCCAAGACAGTATTTATAGAAATCCAGAGATCAGCAGTGCACTGGGCTGAGAGGGGGTGGGGTGGAGGAGACTCAAACTAATGGGATAACACAGAGATGGTATGGGGTCCAAGGAGTCATGGGTGAGCCAGGTGGGAGCAAGCAAGAGGACAGGGGAGGGGCAAGGCCTCAGATCACAGAGGGGGCGCAGTGGACAGCGAATGCAGGCAGCTGAGTGGCAAAGCTTGGCTCTGAAGGAGCAGAGGACAGGGTGTAGGTACTGAGCCAAGTTGGATTGAAGGAGAGTTTTTATAGAGTTTTCTTTGTCCTTTTTCCTTTTCTTTAAAAAACAAAACAAAACATTTTTATTGATTTCAGAGAGGAAGGGAGAGGAATAGAGAGATGGAAACATCAATGATGAGAGAGAATCATTGATCAGCTGCCTCCTGCATGCCCACTACTGGGGATCAAGCCCCCAACCCAGGCATGTGCCCTGACCAGGAATCAAACCGTGACTTCCTGGTCGATGGTCAACCAACCACTAAGACACACTGGTTGGGCTTCCTTTTCCTTTTATTTTGAAGATGTAAAACGCTGAATAAGTTCAAATGCTGACAGGAACCATGCAGCAGAGAAGAGGTGAGAGTTGAGACACATGGAGGGCAAAGTCCCCTAGAGCAGTGGTTCCCACACAGTCTGCACATTAGAATCACCAAGAGGGATGGGGGGGGCCTTTAAAATATTCCACAGCCCAGGCCACACCCCAGACTAAATCAACTCTCTGTGAGTGGAGTGGAGGCATCAGGTTTTGAAGCTCCCCCGGGGATTGCAATGTGGGGGCTATTTTGGGTTTTATCGCCCTAGAACTTCGCTCCTGAGTTGAGGTCCTCTGACCAGCCCCCCAGAGCCACCTGGGAGCTTATCCGAAATGCAGCCCCACCGAACCATCATGCACATTTCAACAAGATCCCCCTGAGGTCTGTGTGCACATTAAAGTTTGATAAGCTCTGAGCCAGGAGGCAGGCGGAGATGAATCCAGGCCGTGGGAACTCGATAAATGTTGATTTATAAATGAATGCAGGAATGAAAGGTGCGTCTGGAGTGTCGGTGGAGGGCTGGCCCGCCACCGCAGGAGACACACCTTGTCCTTGGAGAGGAAAGAGATAGAGAAGGATGGTGCAGATACAGTGAAGTGGATAGGTTGGTGTGTCCTGGGAAGTTGATAGCATCTATTCCATCTATAAAAGAGAAGGTGTCATCTACTGTGATTGACAGGAGAGTGTGGACTTGGCAGCTGGGGAGAACGGAGAAGGTTTAAATGGATCTGGAGGGAGAACGCTGGCCAGGAAAAAGGGGGACCAGTAGGCATAGCGAGGGCCTCCTGAGACTGATGCTACGGAGTGTCATGTCAGCAGCACCAGGGAGGAGGAGGAGTTAGGCTTGGGTGACGAAGCACCAGGAGGCAGGCACTCCGACCTACAGGTACCGAGGCAGTTTAGTCCCAAATCCTACCTTTCTGTGAAAACCTGGGAATATCAGTCCACTGGACAAGGAGAGCCCACCCACGGAGCTGGTGGTCAGGGTTGCCAGACAGTCATTCCACAGGCGCTGCCTGAGCCCTGCCCGCCCAGAACCCAGCAGGAACCAGAGGCTGTGAAGGGAGAGCCCCACAGCCTGGGGCTGGGCGGGCTTAGTGGCTGACCAGCTCAGTGAAGGCCTGTCAGCACCCGCTCGCCTCGGGCCTGTGAGCTGGGGCTCTTAACTCGGCACAAGTCAACCGGAGGGACACTTACTCTCCGAAGGGCCTCTCCAGGGCGAACGGCCGGGCAGCATAAAAGTACTGCTTGTATTCATCCATCCACACTTCAGCTGTCCGCTTGGTGTTCCTGGGGAGGATAGGGGGTGTCAGGGAGGTGCTACCTGAGAGGACCTGGGACATATCCAGTTAAAACACACACGCATGGCCCAGCCGGCATGGCTTAGTGGTTGAGCATCAACCTATGAACCAGGAGGTCACGGTTCTGTTCCCGGTCTGGGCATATGCCCGGGTTGTGGGCTTGATCCCCAGTGTGGGGCATGCAGGAGGCAGCTGATCAATGAATCTCTTTCTCATTGATGATTCTATTTCTCTCTCTCACCCTCTTCCTTCCTCTCTGAAATTATATACAAAATATACAGTATATATATTTTAAATGCACACATGTGAGCAAGTTGGTAGCATCACCCAGGCGGGGGCCACCATGGTGCAGCAACTCTACTCTTCCCAGGGTGCTGAGCCCAGCCCCGTCCCACCCAGTCTCCAATGGTACCTTCACCCCAAGACATCAGGTGTTCGTAGTAATGACAAACTCTTCCCCAAAAGATATGGAACCGAAAATTACCCAGAAACTGAACTTCTGTGACTCTCAAAAAAGAAACCATAGGAAGAAAAGAGCCAGGACAGCCCGGCACATCACATGGCGCCAGTAGCCAGGAGGAAAGAGCAGGGCCGCGCCGCCACCTTGCCCCGGCCTCCCCGGTCCTGCTCCAGGTGCTCCCGCTTTGCACAGGGGGTGTGGGGAGGCCCCAGCTCGCCAAGGTCTCCCTGTTGTCCAAGCAACTAGCTGCTTGCAGGTGTAAAGAATTAAGTAATCAAGCCATCTCAGACATTTTGCTAGAGCACTCTTAGGTTATTTTTAAAATGAGGTATTTGCTCTGAGTCTGACCCTAAAGGACACAGAAAGAAGTCAGAGAGGGACAGAGGCACTGAGAATGTCATCATTCAGCGGTCAAAGAGGCAGGGACACCGGGAAGAAGCCCGGGGCACAGAAACAGCTCATCAGAAGACAACCGGATGCCAGGGGCACTGTGGGGAGCAGCCCCTGCGGAGGCCCTCGGCAGTGAACTTGGGGCTCACGAAAGACGGGGTGCTCCTCCAGATTCCTGGTTCTATTTGGAGCACAGGCATTCAACAGGGGGCTGTGGCGAGCCCTTCCATTCAGGCTGATGGGCCTGAAAGGAGTCATGCACACGCAGCCCAGTTCTTGGGGCTCTGAAGGCAGTTCTTGTCTTATTGACCCTTCCACTGGCCGAACCATCAGCCAACCGGAAGCTGCTCATGAGACACTGTACCTCATTCCTCTAACCCCTGAATGACCCGCTGGTGGCATGCAGGATGCCACTGGCCAGGGTCCAGGCTCAAGGACAATGGATGTTCTGGAGCCCCAGGCTCTGCCTCTCATTCCCTAGCTGGCCCCATTCTACATCACAGCCACAAGGCTTTCCTACGTCCCCAGCTCATCCTTCCCTCTGAAACACCCGAGAGCTGAGGCAGCCCCACCTCTGTTCCCCGCTGCCCTGCCTGCAGGGTTTCTCATTGCCCACCACGTTTCTAAAGGTGTTAACTTTCCCATGACTCAGACCTACACCTCCTCTGAGCCTGCCGTGTCAGAACGTGACCCAGACCTGTTCATATATGTGAAAAACCGAGCATGGAAGTATGCAGAGGAGGAAAGTGACACCCAGAGGAAGAAAAACACCGAATGAGGTGCTTAGTCCTCCTTCCCCCAAATGGACCAAATCATAGGAAAAAAGGGAATAAATAGGTGAGAAAATGAGTAAAGACAAGAGGATTAGGGAAAGGGAGAGAAGGTGCTAGAGAAAAAATGAAAAACAGGAAGCAGAAATACAGTGGGGCCTTGACTTACGAGTTTAATTCGTTCCGGGACGGAGCTCGTTAAGGAGCTCGTTAACTGAAATTACTCTATCAACTCAATGCAAAAAATCGGCCGAGAGACAGCTGGTATCTCAAAAAACTCATTAGTCGGGACCCTCGTAAGTCAAGGCCCCACTGTACATGAATTTTTTATTTAAAGGAGGGGAGAAAGGTTGAAAGAGAAGAAATCCAGCAGAGAAGGGTGTACGCAGGGAGAGCAGGAAAAGGCACGTGGACACCCCTGGGTCACCGAGTCCTTCCCGGCCAGGAGATGAGGGCACTAGGAGAGGAGCCCAGGGCCAGCCCTGGAGCAGGCGTGGGCCTTGGATCCCCTGTGCCTCCCCATTCCCGAATCTTCCCTGGTGACTCAGCAGGCCTTCTAGAACTCAGGGGCCCAAACCGCTGCCCTTCCCTGACCCCAAACAACACGAAATGCCCAGAACCTTGAGCTCAATGACTTAAAGCCCCCAAGGCCACACGTGGGGCCTTGACAGCCTGGGGGTCCCTGCCAAACGCTGGACGGGCAACCCTGACCCCCCCTGCATAGGAAGAGGCCAAGAGGGTGTGCTATGCGGCTCCTGACCACCCAGAACACTCAGGCAACCTGCCAGGGAACCCGGGCAGCCACAGCCCATCGCCAGGAAAGCCCTCGGCCTCTGCAGCCCCTTTGTAGCCCCCGGACACGCACTTACTTTATATATGTGTTGGCGTTTCCGTCCGGGAAAACATATGGGTGCTTCTTCCGGAAGACGTGGCCCACACGGCTGCAGGGGACGATCTCTAGGCTGCCCCCACACATCCACACTCTGAAGGACATTTCTGCAAGACAGCATGCCTCCCGTCACGGATCTGCCTCGAGGGGGTGGGTGGGCACAGGAGGGCAGCTTGGAGGCACCAGGAAACACCAGGCCTGAGCAGGGGGTCAGGGCCCGCTGCACCCCGCTGAGGAGGATGCAGGGCTAACAGCTGTGTGCTCCACGGGCTGGGCAAGCGGATTCCGCATCCACAGGTGGGGATGCTGATAACTCACACCTGGGAGGGTGGTGCGCGCTAATTCGGGAACAGTGGCCTGCGTGGAGGAGGAGCATGTATCTCAATCAGCCCAGGAACACGTGCAGGGCGGGGCCTGCGATGCCTTAGTCTGGAGAACAGGAGCCTTGGGGCCAGGAGAGCGCTGCTTTTGGACACGAGGAAGGTATCCGTGTGGGAGACATTAAACTCCCTCACAGAATCCCAGAGGGTGAGAATCAGGACCAAGGAGAAAGAATTTCCATTCGAGAATATGGGAGAATTTGCTGTCAGTCGAGATCCAGATAGAAGTGGCTGTCTCGGAGCTAGGGGTTTCCGCACTCCGACAGGCCAGCAAACCACAGGGCCCGTGTGCAAGCGAGAGGACCAGTCAATTCCAGCAGGCACCTCCCACACCCAGAGTGCAGTTCTCCTCGCTGCCCCTCCCTGCTCCTGCTCTGTCTCCCTTCGTTCCAACTACCCAAGCAGGTGCCTGATCCTGATCCTCATCTGCTTTGTCACTCACACTCCTCAGCCACCCTTTACCTGTCTGTCCCCTACCGCCCCCTGCCGTGTGTCCCTGGAAAAGCTACTGGTTTGCAGACAAGACTTCCTCCGTTGCCACCTTCGCCCCACCCGCCCAGGTGCTGCCAGATGGGCTACAGCGCATTCCCAGGAAGCTCAGATTTCCCTCGAGCAGGGACAATGTGCACATTACGATGAAGAAAGGACTCCTCAAGGTTGAATAATGGCAAGAACATGGGGTGGGGAAGAAACGGGAAGAGTGTGGCTTTGGGGTCGGCCGCGTCAGGGGGGAACCTGCTTGCCCCAGCTGAGGCTGGGTCTCCTACTATGTCAGACAAAGATCATAAAAATACTCCACAGGGTCACTGTCCACAAGAAATGAAATCTTGAGAATAACTGAAAACTCTCCGTGCGGTGGGAAGATCAGCGGCAGCTATGCAGCCAGTGTCTTTAGCACACGGACACCGATGGCATCGCCACCTCTGCCCATGTCCAGCTCCCTCCTTCTGCCAGGGGAGGCATTTGAAATTCACGGACCAACATTTGAGACTTTTACTCTCCATCAAGGTCCCCGGTGCAGTGATCTGGCGTTTGGCGGGGGCAGTGGGGATCGTGTGCCCCAAGCTGACGCCTGTGGGAGACCAGGAGCAATGAGTGGGCTGAGCTGACTGCACAGCGCCCCCCACGCCCCCCCCCCCCCCCGCAGTGAGTGTGTCCAGGGAATTAGCACACTTGTGAATTTAGTCTCCGGAATGTCTTCCCTTAGCAGGTGTGAGGTCTACTGTGCCGCCATGGACGCCTTCCCAGGATCTCAAAACACGGTCTGCTCTTGTTCCTAAAAAGGAAAACACGCTCATCCCTCAACACGAGGGATGGGGGCCTTGCCTACGAGATATAACCTACACACCCCGTGCCAGCTTTCTCCCAAAAATACGCACACGCTTCCGCTATGGTCTCTTCCTTTCCACGTATTCAAATGAGACATATGTTCCCTCCTCATTTGCAAAGTGAGGCCTCACCTCCAACTTATGTCTCAATCCTATCCCCTTCGCCCGACACCTGCCCCTTTCCCTGTGTTCACGAGGCCCAGCACGGAGCTTTTCTCTGAATCTGCTGACCCCCGTCCCCTCTGCCCCGGCCATGCAGCGGGCCCCGCCTGAGACAGTGCTGTCACCTGACCCTGCCCTTCCCACTCCTCTGGTCTCCTAGCGTTCATTCTTCACGCCAAGGCTCTGGGGGTCTTCCTGACGTGGCTTCCTCACCCGACCCCCACGTTCGCTCGACACTAAGGCCTCCCCTCCATCCCGCAGCCCCAGCTCTGCTCGGGCTCCGCACCAGCGAGGTGCACTGGATGCCGTCAGGCACAGTGTCTCCTCCCCCCTTGCATCCCCCACAGCCTGCCCCCTCTCCTCCGCCTCTAAACCCGCTCTTCCTGCTCCCCGTTTTCCCGCCTGCTGCTTTTACCTCAATCTTGAGAGCCTCTCAGCTCCGCACACATCAGCCACGGGAGGAAAACGACCCCTTCGTGTACCTCTGGCTGGGTTTTGTTCCGTCCTCCCTCCGGTGGCAGCTTGTTAGTCACCCCAACATCCCAACAGCCTCTGGGGCGCGCACCTGGGCACGGGCTTTAGCGAGCAGCCCCGATAGAGAACAGAGCAGCCTGCTTTCACTCTGCTCTCCAATCAGGGAAAGAGGTGACTTTTCATCAGACTCAGGGGTTCTTCTCAGGCGAGGCCATTTCCCTCCCCTGGAGCCACCAAGCCTGGGAAGGGCGAGGCTGGCAGGAAGGCTGGAGGGCTAAACCATTCCAGCAGGCCCCACACCATCTCCTCGAACAAACGAACAAACGCTGCTCGCAAGGAGCCCGAAGGGGAAGTGGAGGCCCTGCTTCTAATTAACCTTCCCAGGGAGATGGCAGTGGGGTCACTTCCTATTGCTGCTATAACAAATGACTACACTCACCTAGTGTGGGGTTTGCTTGGGCCTCTGCTGAGAGCCTCCCAAGGGCAAAATAAAAAAAATCAAGGTGTAGGTGGGCAGGATCCTGCTCCTGTCTGGGGGCCTGAAGAACCTGCCTCCAAGCTCCTCCAGGTTGTTCAGAGCTTAGTTCCTCTCGGGTGTGGGGCTGAGGGTCCCTCTTCTTTGCTGGCTGTAGGCCAGGAACCTCTACGTCCATGCTTCCCCCTCCTCCTTCAAGCCATCAGTGGCCAAATCAGCCTCGCTCATGCTGCCCACGTCTCTGCCTTCTCCTGTTCCATCACTTCTGCCTCCAACTGAAGAAAGTTCTCTGCTTTTGAGGGCTCACGTGATCAGACTGGGCCCCTGGATAATCCAGGATCATCTCCTAATGTCATGGTCAGCAGCCTTCATCACATCTGCAAAGTCCCTTTTGTTGTGGGAGGTGAAGCCCTGACAGGTTCTAGGTGACACGATGCTCTCCTTGCCCCAGCTTTGGCCAGCTCTCTTCTCCAAGGGGCCTTGACCCTGGCCCCCATCCTCGCGGAGCCTACATTTCCCAGTTGCAACGAGAATCCTGCTGAGCCAGCTGAGAGGGAATCACCCACCCTTGTAATTTCCACCCACCGACCTCCTCCCTACCTCCTGTTCTTGGATTCAGAGTTGACCCATCTCCCTACCTTACTGCCAGTCCTAACGCCTGCTGTGAGAGTCCCGAGTGAAGTCTTCCTAACCATTTGAACAAGACTCCGAGTCACTCTTTCCTTTGCACGGGGGTTAGGAGTGGGTATCTTTTGGGGCAGGCCATTCTCCCTACCACTGTCTCCACCTTAAAGACTTGGAAAGAGGCTCCGTGAAGCAAAGTACCTATTCCAAGGACACAGCCAGTAACGACTAGAGGATTCAAACTCTGGCCCATCGGATCCTGCAGCCCATGTCCATACACACAGTGTGTGTGCCAAGCCTGACACACCCTGACGTCCTCGACTACATTCTAAGGGGGGGGGTGGGGGTGGTAGCTCCTCTCCAGGCCTCACCTTATCTCTTTCCTCAGCACTGCCTTTGTATTTGCTATGCTTTAGAAATCCCCCCTTCTAAATCCAGGAACCCCACGCTCACCCTTCATATATGTGCTAAGGCCTCCCCTTTTTTTTTTAAGAAATGTGCAACCCCCACCTACACACACACACACACACATCACTGAGCAACTGCTTCCAGTGACAAAAAGCTAAAAGTGAGGTGCAGCTGGAAGTGAGTAGATGTATCAGATATGCTGTGCGTCCTGTGTTATGTAAATTGGAGTCTAAGCATGCAATTTTAATGCAAAACAACTGGGGGGGGGAAAGGCTAAAAGCCACATTCCCCTGAAGCCTGCTCCTATGCTAAACTGCAGGTGTAATTATCAAAACTATTCAGCTCCCCTTAGAAACACTGTGTGGGAATAGGCACCTTACAGAGCTCAGGCTGGGTGAGGGCATGGGGGCCGGCTTTCCCAGGCAGCTGAGGCTGCTTCCAGCAGATGAAAGTGAGAGGGGCGGCAGGGGCAGCGTGCCACCGAGGACCCGGGAGGTCACCCTGGCCAGAGCCTTTCTCAGGAATCTCATGGATTCTGTGCTGTGAACTACAGTCAATGCCAAATAGGCAAACGCGCCTGGCACACACAGCACTCCCACTCCTTGGAAAGGAAGCACCTGTTCCCGCTGGTTTTTTTTTTCCTCCGTTTAATGCAGTGAGACCTGTTTTGCATGGAGCCTCACAGACGCGACATATGTTGACCTTCCCACCCTGACTCCTCTTCCCGGTCTCTCGCCTTTGAGCACAGAGAGCAGATTCCACCGTCAGGGCCTTGCGGACGAGAAGCTGGATGAGTGTTCTTGCCTTGTTCCAAGTTTAGCAGGAGGCAGGGCGGCAGGCACAGATGAGTAAACACAAATGCATGGGAGCGCTCAGTGCCAGGGTGAAGAGGAGACCCAGTGCTAGGGGCACAGAGCGGGGGGGGGGGGGGGGCCGACAGAGGAGGCAGGGAAGGCGTCTCAGTCCTGGGGTAGGCGCCCAGTGCTGTGCTCCTCAGCTTGGTGGGAAGGGGCTAGGTCGCTGGAGTCTGGGCCATCAGGGCAGAGCCTCTGGACTGAAGGCTGGAGGGGTGGACAAGGCCAAGGAGGGGCCCAGCTGAGGAGCGTGGGCCTCGTCCTTAGGACAACAAGCAGACAGTGGTGGCTGCCAGGCCTGGGAGGGTGGCCGAGACCTGCATCTCAGAGAGAGCACTTTGGCAGGCGTGTGGGAGGATGGCTCTGAGGGGAGAAGACGAGAGGCGGGGGCCATTCAGGAGAGTATTGGGGATGAAGAGGGGAATGGATGTGAACAATGGTGGGGGGTCAGGTCTCGGGACTTGGTGAGCTGCCTGGTCCTCAGCATCCACTTGGTCGCTGGAGCAATTCCCTGGTGGCCTCCACCCTCCCAGCAACTGCACCTTTCTCTGGCACCTCACCCGGCCTTCCCCTCAAGGACTCGCCACACCCTGGCGCGGAACCCACTTCACTCTCACACATCCTCCATGTCTCAACACCATCTCTGCTTGCAGCTGAAGCATCATCGCCCTCCAACCCCATCAGACCCCTGATCATCACCCCATCCTGCAGGGACTCTCCCAAACGCCCACCTTCATGTCCTCAGGTGCCGGCTACCCTCCCCCACGGCATTGATGCCGTCCACACGCTGGGTCCACCATGGGAAAAGCACTGCATTTCCTGGCACACGCAACACTAAGAAAAAGAAAGCCCGGTGCTGGCACCGGCTGTAGCTTGTGGAATGCTGGGAGGGGAGAACACCACGTGTCCCCGTGACAGCTGTCTGCACCGCCTTTTCTGTGATGGAGTGTAGACTGCTCTCCCCCAGCTGTGCAGAAGCCCCCACTGCTTCCCCATTTGAATCAGCCCCAGATAAGGCAGCCGACTTGGAAGTGACCACATGAGATCGCCAGTTGATCTGAGCAGATGTGTGTCAACATTGCTACACAGAGAAGGCACTGGTGGGCGGGACCGAATGTGCCATCATTAAAAGTAACGTGTTCTCTGAGTCCAAATGGGGCTGCCCCGTGGAAGAAGGAACACACTCAGGTTGTGAGGTTCAAAAGGGCACAAGCCCCAACAGACAAAAGTGAGAGGGAGGTGGGCTTGGACGTAGAAGAATTTTCTAGTGCTTCAACACAAAATTCTCAGCAACGGAACATGCTGAATTGTGAAGCGGCGACCGCATCACCGTAGTAGCATCTGAGCAGAGATCGGACGACCGCTGGCTGTCAAAGTGTCGCAGAAAGAATCCATTTGGCGGCTGGGACAAAAGGCTAGAGCTCGTCACTAAAGGCCGTGCTCTGGTCATCAGGACATCGGCCGGCTCCGCCCAGAAAGAGGGAAATCTCATCCCCATTGAGAACAAGGGTGGACCTGTCTTTACTAGTAAGTCCTCCTGGGCTGGTGCCTGCAGATCTGACCCCAAACCCCACCAGAGGTCCCTTCATGTTCCGGGACTGGGTCCAAGACGGGGAGTCAGTGTGGTTGGGGGTGTTCGGGTTTTCTGCTTTGTTGGCCAAGCTTACAATCTGGCCCCCGTGTGGCAGGAGACAGACTCTTCTGATGGATCTCCCTCCACTGCCCAGTTTGGGAGAACAGATGCGGTGGGTCAGGCCAACAGCCATAAATTCCCGGGGAATAACTCTTAGTGACTGAGGAAGATGCCATAAAACACTCTGGAGGCAGGGACAGGAGAAAACAATGGCAGAGGACAATGCACCAGATCACTGCTAAATGCCTGGAGAGCCCCATGCATCATTCTCCTGGCCTCTGCCCCGCTCGGGGAGCCCGTGACAAACACAGTGCCCGGTGCCCAGGGAGGAGACGGGCCCCCAGCACTACAGGACCCTTCCTCTCCCCTTACCGAGTTACCGAGGCCTCCTTTGTGGCAGACACTATACTAAGCACTCAGACAGCTGTGAACAAAGCAGACCCAAATCCCCGCCTGTGTGCAGCTCATATTCTAGTCATCTCTTAGGACTCACTGCTGCAAGGAAGGAAGGGAAGCTAACATTTCTCGTCCCCGTGTGGTGTGGTGCCTGCGTTTTTATAGACTTACCTCAATGGATTTTCACAGTGACCCCAAGAAGCACCCCAACATTATGCTTTAAATACACAAGGAAACTGGAAGGCCACTCAGTGTTATCAACCAGATGGAATGGGCCTCTGACTGCTCTTTCTGCAAACCGCAGCCCTCACCACTGTGGCTGCACCTGGCCCGCTGCTGGCACAGTTTTGGAACCTTAACCCAGCCCCTCCACCCCACCTCTTCCTCTGCACTGAAAGATAAGGACAAGCTGCCCCCAGAGTTTCTGTCGCAATCACCCCCGAGCCTCCTCATTAACCCAGTGCTGAGTGCTATACGCCTAGAGCAGCCAACAGATGTGAGCCAGATGTTTCCAGTGTCACTGTCTATCCAGCTCTTCATTCTTTCTCTCCAGACTCATTGCAACTCCAAATTCTCAAAGTTCCGTGTTCCCAACTCAAGCCTGCCTCTGGCCCTGGGCGTTCCTCTTTGGTTTTCCTGGCTATTGCATCTCCACTTCCCCCTCAGGGTCTGCCTGGTCCTCAGCATCCATGTGGTCCCATGAAGCGAGTCCCTGATTGCCTCCACCCTCCCAGCAACCGCTCCCTTCTCTGGTGCCCCGCCTGGCCTTCCTCCAAAGGAGTAACTTAGTCCCCATTCCCTGACCCCTTTTCCCAGGCACATGTGGTCCCAGGACACACCTTCCCCACCCCAGCTCCAGGGCACAGAGGCAGTAACTCACCAAAATTCTCCCCACCCCAGATGTCCATGTCCATGTCATACTTCCCCAGGAAATTGAACCAGGATTTGTCCATCACGAAGAGCCCTCCAGCTATGATGGGAGTCCTGTGCATAGAGGAGAAGATAGAGCATTAACTCTGGGAGGGGATCGTTTGTTGCATTCTTCTGCCCTAGCTGCCCAGAACTCCAGGCCATTTTCTTACCATTTTTGCTCCTCTTCGGGGAGGCCAATGTTTTCCATCTCATCTAACACACAAACTTGCTCCTTCGATTTTGGGGTTTTCCCTTCGATTATAAATCTCCTGACCTGGCAGACAGGCTAACTCACTCATCAGCACACCTGCCATGGGGGACCAGGGCTCGCAGACCCCTGGCTGCTCTGAGGGCCACCTGCACGGGCCTCCCCCAGGCCCTGCTCAGCATGGGTCTCTGGGGAGCTCACTATTGGGTATGGGGGCCGGGGGCCACTGAACAGGCAGAGAAGGGCTGAGGTAGCAACTGTCAACAGCGCGTCCATTTCTTGAGACTGAGGTTCTCTCTCCTTTTTCCTTTTTCCCCTCTGTTACAGGTTGAGTTATGTCCCCCTAAAGGTCGTGTTGGAGTCTTAACCCCAGTACCTCAGAAGGTGATCTTATTTGGAGAGAGGGTCTTTACAGAGGTAAGCAAGTTAAAAGGAAGTCATTAGGGTGGTCACACTGGGCCTGGAAGAGAGAGTGTATAGATCAGGACAAAGTCTCCCTCGGCTGCACCAGCCACTGTCACATCCTCACACAAAACAGAGTAGGTGTGTTTGCTGATCAGCCGCAGTGGCCAGGCCTTGGTGTCAGCCTCCACTTACTGTAATGGCTGACGCCACCTTCCTGGGCTTAATCTTGACATCCAAGACCTGGGCTCTCCTACTGGCCCGAAGGCACCGTTTCTCCTGTCAGAGGCTCAAACAGGACCCTTTGGGACCCTCCTGTGCTTAGCAGGAAGCACAAGTACATCATGACATATTTGTCGATGGACAACCTTGGGCAACTCCTCAGCAGAAGGTCTCCACCAGCCCCATCTCCTTAATAGAAGTTTCCATGAGGACAGAAACCTCCTAAAATGAGGGCAGAAGTGGCGCTAGCCTGGCAAAGGGCTCTCTTGGTCTCTGCGCAATCTTTTGAGCATCCAATGCTGCACACCTCCCTCTACCTTGTGAGAGAGGGAAGGAGCAGGAGGGAATGAATCAGCCACCCACCCTGGCCCTGACTTACCTGATGGGCTCCGAGGGGTCCAGGCGCTGAGCCTTCTGTTCTGGGGAGAGCTGCTCCCATTGGAAGTGGAGGCTCCAGTCAAACCCTAAAACACAGCACCCTCTCGGTAGATCTGGTCTCTCGGGTATACCTGTCGAGCTCGCTCATTCTGTCCCTGTTCTTGAAGGGCATGCATGTACCCGGTTTCCCGGGGAAGCTGGTCCCAGGGATACCAAGCCTCACCCCGCTGAGCAGAAGCAGAGTCACCTCACCCCATTTCCCTTCTCTTTTTCCTGCCTCTTGCCTCTCTGCACCTTCTCTGCAGTTAGGGATGAAGGGAAGAGGGTACAGGGGGCGATGTAACAGGGACCCAAGGGGTGAAGATGGTCAGCTATGGAATGTGGCCCTTGGCCAGGAGCCTTGGGAAGGTGGAACAGGAGGTTTGGAGGGGCAGAATCACCTAAAGTTGGTCTTGGGGTGGAGGCGGCACTAGGTCTAGGTGTGAGGCCTGTGCTGGAGCAGAGCTTGGGGGCTGAGAGCGACCTGCCCCTCCCCTGTGGTAAGGGCCACCTGGAAGCTACTGACATTAGGGGATGCAGGGCTGGATGTTGCAGACAAGGAACGAGAAGGCAAGTTTTGCTCCCTCTCCCCCTGGACAGCAATGACCGGGAGGAACTGAAAGTGTCCCCGGGAGAAGGCATCAGCGCACTCACCCCCCCTGAGCTCCGTGGCCGACTCGATGTAGCTGAAGGTGTCCAGGTTGATGATATCGATCACGGGGCACACCACCCGCGTGTAGTCCTGCCAAACAACAGACCCGCGTTCAGTGTGTGGTGTGGGGGGAATCGGGAAGCTTGGCAGGCCTCCCCCTGGCCGTGCCAGAGACTGGTTTGGGGGCCTTGACCAAACACTTTCCTCCCTGTGTCTCAATGATCTCATCTGTGAAATGGGGCACCAGACACTGTGGCCTCTCTAGTTCCGATGCTGAAAGTGCTAAGACTCCTGGCACAGTGACCACCCCAGCACAGTGGAGACAGACACGGCGGAGGCTGGCTGAGAGGGCTGGGCGCTGAGGAAGGGGACAAAGAGGGGGCTCCAGAAGTCCTTCACCATCAGGGGCACTCAGGAGGCAGAGGACAGAGTTAGCTGGGAAGGTGACCTCCAGCCTGCAGCCCCAAGGAGCAGCCTCACCCCTGGGAACCTCCTGCAATTTCCAAACACTTTCGTTCTATGCCTATGTCTCTAGGCAAGTTGATGACTAGCGTTTCCAGAAATCCCTAACTTCAGTTGTTGCCTGTGATGCTCACGAATCTGCACCTCCAGCCCTGACTTCCCTCCTCGCCTCCAGACTCAGGTCCGGGGTGCGGGGAGCCACCGCCATGTGGATTGCACACAGCCTTGCGGTGGTGGCTTCATCACCTCCCCCATTGCGCTCCCTTCCCTCGGTTCCCTATTTCTGTCACAGGACCATCACATATCCCACTTCCTCCCCAGCACTAAACTAAGAAGCTTCATCTCTGCGCATCACCCAGACTGCTCCTCTGAATGACTCCTGCCTCTCCTTTATCCCCTCACATCTGGGCACTGCAATGTACTCCCCTTCCCGCCCCCTCCCACCCTTTCCCTTCCAGTCTACAGGCAGCTGACAAAGTCGTGTTTCTCATATGCAAACCTCACCCTGCAGCTCAACAGCTAAAGATCTGCGCTGCCTGGAAGAGGAGGTTCAAACTCCTTAGCCTGGCATCCAGGATCATCAAAAACAGGCCTGCATCTACTTTTCCAGCCTCACTGCTTGCTACTGGCCCCAGGCCGCCCTGCCCACAGGCATCAAAGTCATCCAGAGGACAGTCTCGAAATCTGCAAGACAAATTCACTACCTCTCGGGGACGGCCAAAGCATTGTATATATTTTAAATGTTCCCTAGTTCTGAGTGAACACCCGGTACCTGGTGTGCAGGAGGGGACGCTGGGCCCTGTGGGCGGTGAACTAGCTGTGGGCAGGGAGAGTGGATGGCTAACTAGAGCCCAGCAGCCGAGGAGACCCAGACAGGACCACTTCTCCAATCCCCCGCACCCACACCCCTGGCTGGCACAGGTGGGAACCTCTGTTTCTCTTTGCAGCCATTTAATTTCCTGGTTCAATCTCTCTTCCAAATGAGGCTGTCTTCTTATTTTAAGGTCAGATTCACCAAGTGCCTGCTTTTACGTTCACAGATTTAATCTGGCCCTCAGCCTCCATGTGTGACTCATCCTGACAGTGACAAGGTGCCTCTGAGGCCAACTGGCCCACGTGGGGAAAAATGCTCATTTCCAATGCATTGCTTCCACCTCTGGGATGTGCACAGATGCTTTCTTCATGGTCGACACAGCACCTGCCCAGCTGCCACAGTTCTTTGGGGCTCCTCGCAGGCCACTGTCATCATGCATCTGTGTGTGTGTGTACACACACACACACACACACACACACACACACACACAGCTGTCCACACCAATATCTACGCACAGACACACCCCTAAAGACATTCTTGTGATTTGAATTCTTAAATGTTCTCAGGAGATCAGAGACTGACCTTTTGTGAGGCTGATCAAACCCTCATTTTGCCTTTGCTTGCTGAGTTTTGGGGCGTCTGCATCATCACCAAGTCCTCTATAGACCCTTGTACTGAACGATAAAGGACTAACCTTCCCCAAAGATATGCCTGGCCCTTGCCCAGAGCCTTTGAGGTAACTTCTAAGCCCTTGGGATGTCCTGCCTGTAAGAATATCTCTATTTGCTGGGAGCCTATGGGCTGCAACAGATAGGCTATGCTAACAATGTGATTTAGGATGAGCGCCTTGGCCATGTGGTCCCAACTCAACTTGACTTCTGGAGGTGCGTGGACAGCATGGGGGTGGTCATCCATGCCTGTGTGACTGACCCCAAGAAAAACCCTGGACAACAAGACTCAGGTGGGCTTCCTGTTTCGCAACACTCTATGCATGATGCCACCATCCCTGCTGGGAGAAGTAAGTGCTGTGTGTGCAGGAGGACTGGGACAGGGCAGCTGGAAGTTTGTGCCTGGAGCTCTCCGTGTGTACCTTTTCCCGTTGCTAATTTTAATCTCTATTCCAGTGATGGCGAACCTTTTGAGCTCGGCGTGTCAGCATTTTGAAAAACCCTGACTTAACTCTGGTGCCATGTCACATATAGAAATTTTGTGATATTTGCAACCATAGTAAAACAAAGAGTTATATTTTTGATATTTATTTTATATATTTAAAAGCCATTTAACAAAGAAAAATCAACCAAAAAAATGAGTTTGCGTGTCACCTCTGACACGTGTGTCCATAGGTTCGCCATCACTGCTATTCTTTTTTTTAAAAAATATATTTTATTGATTTTTTACAGAGAGGAATAGAGAGTTAGAAACATTGATGAGAGAGAAACATGGATCAGCTGCCTCCTGTACGCCCCCTACTGGGGATGTGCCCGCAACCAAGGTACATGCCCTTGACCGGAATCGAACCTGGGACCCTTCAGTCCACAGGCCGACGCTCTATCCACTGAGCCAAACCAGTTAGGGCTCTCTATTCTTTCACTGTAAGAACATGACTGTAACAGCTCTGTTATGTTTCAAGTCTTTCCAGAAAACTCTTGAACCTGAGGGTTCAGTATTTGGAAATTGAAATGCAAAAAGAAATGCTGTTTGCTTGCCTCATCCATGGGCTTTCCCAGAAGCCACCATGGGCTCTCTGCCCCCAGGGCTGGGACAGGCTCTCGTACACTCTCCCTATAGGTTCTGAGGGGTTCTGTCCCATTATTCCTGGTCACAGCCTCTGTTTAGAGTCATGGAGACCAGATAAGCAATGAGAGGTGTTTCAGGCTAAGTGGTGTGTGGAGCCATGACCTTGAGAAGGGGCGGCAGGAGACTATAAACGACCCATTGAAGCCAGGACACAAATCTCTCTGAGTAACCCTGGGAGGGGAGGTCGTATCTGCTCCGCTATTGTATTCCTCAGCCCCAGCCCAGAGCCTGGTGGGCAGCAGGTGTTCAATTGGTGTTGCTAAAAGAGGCTATCTATGAATTCCTGCCGAGGGCACTGTGTCAACGGCTGGCAGCAGCAAAGGTGGGTCAATTACAGCTGAGCAAGATGGCTTCTCCCCCATAGGCTCCCCCTATAGGAGGAACTCTCTGTAAAGATACCCAGACCCATCACCAGTCCCCATCTGCATGCCCCAGGAGGCTGTATCTTTAAGGCTAGGTCCACAGGTAGGTCAAGCAGGCAGCTGGTGGAATCCCTGGTAGGCCTAGAACTACAGCTCCTGTCTCCCTCCCTCCCCCACTCAAATCCAAGCCCAAGCCCCACCCCTCCACGGGGAGCCAATGGCCATCAATCATTACTGCAGTCATACCTCTCATTTCTGCACCCATTCATGTCATAAAACCACACTGTGAATGGGAGATCAAAAAACTCCTGGAGGCTCATTTGCTGGTTTCCTCAACCAGCATTACTGAGCACCCACTGTAGTTTAGGGAAGGCGGTGGACAGGTGAGGAGAGTTTTAGGATGAGGGAGGGGTGGGGGCAGGAGAGGCCCCTCAAAGAGGTGATGCTGTGACAGGAGACCTGGGCTCCTATTTGGGTTCTGCCATCTAAAAACACAAATGACCTTAAGCAAATCAAGAACACGCCGAGGAAGTCTGTTTCTTCGTCTATGAAGCGAGGACAAATCAGTATTTGCAAAACTGTCCTGCCTTCCCTACAGGGCTTCTGGAGCGAATAATTAGGGAGAGCATGCAAAAGGGCTTTGAAGCATATGTAAGCCATTATTTATATCAACTCACCAAATGTTACAGGATTGAAATTTCTTAAAAATCTTTTTTTTTTTAGTAAAAAATATGTAGATAAGGAAGGAGAGAGAAAAAAGAAGCCTATGCTTTGTTTTAAAAAAAACAACACACAGCAACTTGGTGCTTGTTTCTAGCATCATGTAATTGAAGGGGAGAGAAGGGAAATGGAGATTTTCCATGTGGAAAACACCAGCCCAGGACAGCTTGACAGCTCAAGCCAGCCTCTTTCTTATCTCTTCTCTACTTTTGAAAATCCCAAACCCCAATTACGGCTTAAAACTTCCACTTCCACTCACAAGATCAAATCACGTTTTACTCTGAGACAAGACACACACAAAGGCACGTGGAAATGCAGGCTGACACTCACCCCCACTCCTCATCCTGCAAGGGATGACTCGGTGGAACCATTCAGTCAGCAAGAGTCAGGGTCTGGTGGCAAGCTCTGCAGGGGCAGAGCAAGGACAACCGTCCAGTTTGTCTGACCAGCCCTTTGCTACAAAAGTTTTCAATCAGACAGAGGTGGGGACCGGGGTCTTAGCTTGGGAGGCTGAGCTCAATGTGGGGCCAAATGACTCACAGGAGGAGGAGCCCTCGGTGGCAGCAACACTCACAGGCAGGAAGGAGGAGCTGAAGGCTTCCTCTGCCTACAGTACAGGTAAGGTGGCCAGTGGTGCAGAAATGAGAGCATTTTCCAGAGAGGGCTTCTGAGATGGACTCAGACCCCAGGAATGAAGCCTCAGGAAAGCAAAGTCCTCTAAACACATCCTGCAGGGACAGGTCAGCCTGGGGGATCCTACAGGTCAAACACGAAGTCACTGCATGACCCAGAAATTCCACTCCTTGGTAGACACCCCCAAAGAATTGGAAGCAGACACTCAAACAAAAACTTGTACTAATGTTTACAGCAGCACTAGTCACAATAGTAGAAAGTGGGAAACAGCGCAAATGCCCACCAGCGGATGCATGGGTAAACAAAGTGTGGTCTATACTGTGATGATGTGATACAGGAAGAAATACATATATTCGGCCTTGTTCCTGGGTCATCCAACAGAGCTACTAACACCCTTGTAACTGAGCGAAGGGGTGAGAGGAGCATCTTTTGTGCATCAGCCCCTCTCACCATACCTGAGCTAATACTAATCATAGGCCCTTAGAGGATGGGGGCTGGTGATTAGAGGGCTCTGTCCCCCTCACCTCTCCCTCCAAGCTCCCCCAACCCCACCTCAGGGAGGGGACAGACACTGGAGGTTGAGTTCAGAATCCAAGGCCAATGATTTAATCAAGCACGTTGTGTAATGAAGCCTCCATAGAACCCTAAACACAGGGTTCTGAGCACTTCTGGGTTGAAGATCTAAGGCAGCGGTTCTCAACCTGTGGGTCGCGACCCCTTTGGCGGTCAAACAACCCTTTCACAGGGGTCGCCTAAGACCATCCTGCGTATCAGAGATTTACATGACGATTCATAACAGTGGCAACATTACAGATATGAAGTAGCAACGAAAATAATTTTATGGTTGGGTCACAACATGAGGAACTGTATTTAAAGGGCTAGAAGGTTGAGAACCACTGATCTAAGGGCTTGTGCCTCAGATGTGGGCAGGGATCTCTTTCCCGGAATAGGTGCTCAATAAATAGGGGAGACAGAGAACTAAGCCCAGAAAACAAACTGTAGGGCCAAGTGGGCAATTCTTGCCTGGAGGAATCCCAGCTGGCCAGGTGGTCAGACAAGGCCCCCTGGAGGAGGGGTGATAAGGACAAGGCCCTGAAGAGTAAGGGGTTTGCAGAGAGGAGAGAAGGGCGCCCAGCGACAGGAAGGACATGGTCAGAGATGGAGCTGCAGGACCTGGGGGCAGGCTCAGAGAGAAGGAGCGGCTGGTGTGACGGTGGAGGCAGCGCTGTGTCGGCAGACTGAGCCCAGGGGGAGGCAGTGATGTGGCGAAGGGCCCCCAGAGCCAGGCAAACCCCTTGGTCCATTCATAACCTACTATTTCTCAGTCAAGACCTCAGAGCCAGGCAAACCCCTTAGTCCATTCATAACCTACTATTTCTCAGTCAAGACCTCTTTGCCAAAATAAAGTTGAAAAGGGGAGAGGGGATTTTTCTAAACAGCACTCACTGTGCGAGCCCTCCCAACCTCGGGAAAGTGGTTACGGGATGGGTTTTAATATCTAGGCCCACGTGTGAGAACTTAGAAACCCACCGAGCTTCTCTCATCGGAAGGAAGTAACTGGTAAGGATTTCCTACCCTCTGAGCAGTTCACACTTCCCAATCCTTTCACCCTCCCAACACCGTCATGTTGCAGGTAGAAGTTGAAGATAATAAGCAAGTGGGAAGAACGGGAAGGAAATAAGCACAGGCCACAAGGAGGGTTCCAGGACTGGCTGGACCAGCTAGGGAATATCAGTGTCCTCATCTGTGAAATGGGTATGTAAAAAACACCCAACCTCCTATTTCAGAGCAGCTGTAGGACCAATAACCTGGAGAAAATGAACTGCTAATCACCAACACTGGCAGCCACTGCATGCAGTGCCTTCTACACACCAGGATGCGACGACACATTGCTGGAAAAATTCCTAAATGTTTTTCACTTTTAAGAAGAATAACTGAGACATGGAGAGAGACAGAATACAAAATTCTAGAGTAATTTAAGGACAGACAGAGGCAAGGAACTCAGGTCTCAGCATGTAGTCCACTTACCATGGCCACTGGGTGAAGGTGACGTGGATGGAGGCAAGACCCACAGACTGGGAGATAAGGCCTGGTTAATTCCACTGCCCCCTTTTCACAAAGGCTCTCATCAGGGCTCCCTTTCTGGAACCTTCTACTGTCTGGGTGAAATTACTTTAGGCAGTTAGTTCTCTAGCCCCGGAAGCTGTGTGTGACATGCACCAGCTGGGGCAGCCCTGCCTGCAAGCCTACTATGGGTGACCTTGTGACAAAGAATAGGCCCTGGGCCTTGCTCGCTCACTGCCTGCTGTGTGACCCTGGGCACTGCTCTACCTCAGTTTCCCCATCCACTTCCCAGAGGGACTGTGGGCACATGGGAAGGACTGAGCCTGGAGAAGATGGGGACACGGGATCCCTGTGCTCCTCGGTCGGCCTCACTCACTTCTTTGACCCTGTGCAGCAGTGGCTGGAGCCAGTCCCTGTTCACCTCACAGTGGCTGTCGAGGAAAGTCAGAGTGGTGCCCTGGGCAACATCAGCGCCTCGGATCCGGGACCGGACCAGACCTGAGAGGGGACAAAAGGCCAAGTGGGTGACAGCAGGGCCACGGAGGAACCACTTGGCATTCTCCCCATACACAGAACACCTGCAAAACATGCACACACCTAATACCAACCCCCCCCCACCCCCACCCCTGCTCACATCCCCAGATCCCGCCAGCTGCACAGACCCACCTTCCCGCTGGTCATTGCGTAGGCATTTCACCTTGGGCAGCTTGATGAGCTCTTCGCAGTCACCAGCTGCAAAGACAACAGGTTATGTGAAGTGAGCACCGGGATGGAGGTGGGCCTGAAGAATAGGTGAGGCAGCCCTGCTTGCGGTGCCCACCACCGACTGCAGAGCCCCGCCCTGACTCAGGGTTCCTGGGACCTTCAGCAGGGGCACCGACCATGGCTATCAATATATGATATGGCCCAGTCCATGCAGAGTGGCTCAAGGCGGCCTCTATGGAGCAGGTCAGTCCCACAGCGGCACCTGCACACTGGTTAGAAAACACTTCCAGATGGGAGTTCCGGGAACGGTCGCCTGGGAACATTGCTCCTCTCCTCCACATCACTCAAAGCAAGAGTTCATTTCAGTGGGGTCCGGAAAACACTGCTGGGCGGCCAGAGATGGAATGGGATGAATTTTGGAGTTTCCTTTCAGACCAAGGACTCTCAATACAAGACCCTATTTGTTAAGGGTTCCATCCACAGCGTCTTCCATCACACAGAGCTGGTCCAACTTTCCATCACACAGGAAAAGGGGCCAGGATGGGCAAGGGAGCCCATCTCAGGCATTTGCCTGGGGTCATCCTCTAGCTTGCCTGCTTCCCAGAATTCCGTAGGCTCACCATCCCTTGGTTCTGAACTCTAGATCGTGTTCCCACCAGTTTGGCTTTGCTTCATCGGTTTACCAACCTTAGCCTCTCTGCTTGGCTCGGACTCGACTGAGTGACAGCAAAGACTCACACATGCTTTCTTGGGGCCAGGTGTCGTTCTAAGCCCTTTGAAGGTGTTTACATTTAAATTCTTATATAAACCACATCTATTGTTATCTCCATTTTATAGTCAAGGAAAAGGAGACACATCGAGGTTAATAATCTGCCCAAGGCACCTCCCTAGTAAGAGTGAGTGACAGGTCTAGGATTTGAAGCCAGGCAGTCTGGCTCCAGAGTCCACGTTCTAACCACCGGGCTATTCTGCCTCTAAGTGGATCTAGCAGCATTCCCTTCTGCAGCCTCAGTGCCAGGCTGCCTCCCAGCAGGACGAGTGCCTCCCCACCTCCAACCCCTTCTTCACTAGGGAAAGGAGATCAGATCCCTGAGTTGCAGCATGCGAGTCCCTGTGGACCTGGTGCACAACCCACTTATGTATCATCCCCAAGGTTCCGAGGCTCTGTCACAGATGTGGGTTTCTAGCCTTCCTACAGAAGATCCCAGCATAGCAGTGCCTCCTATTCCAGCATCCAGCATCAGCTCTGGTGGGGACAGGGTCCACCCTCCTGGACTTGGAGTTGCCCCCAGTGGCCCTTGCCTGCTTCCCCTGGTTCATTAGTGGGGAGGGGCAGGCCTGCCTGGGTGTGGTTGACTGCCTGGAACTGTACCCATGGCTCTCAGAAGAGGCACTATTAATACTTGAAGCCTAACAATGTTTCTATAATGACTGACCCTGAGCACACAGGTGTCAAGTTTTTCTTGGGGACAGTAGACTTAGAATATGAATTTGGGTGGGGCCCAGGTGCTTTGACAGGACGACTAGGAAATAGCAATGACCAATAGGTTGCAGGGTTGGAAGGAGGCAGGTCTCACTGTGTCGTGGCCAGCTGATGGGATGTCCCACCAGGGGATGCCAAAGACAGAGCCCACCTGGTCCTCCTGTAGGAATGAAAGGGAGAGGGTGTGGTCTCCTCGGCGCAGGCTAGCAGTTGACCATGCATCCCACACGGGAATCTCTTGTGATATATTTGCTTCTGGGCTCTGAGCATCAGGGTCAATCCTTTGAAGGTCGAATTCCTACGTCCAGGAATGTAGGTTAAGGAGCAGTGACACACACGCTTGTGTGTACATCCAGGTGTGCACATATGCATACACACACCAACCCAGGCAAGAATCTACTAAATGTACCTGCTTACGTCCTCACGGGCTTATAGCAGAGAACCCAAGAGGCTGTTTTACAAAGGTAAGGCTTATCTCCTTCTTGAGCCCTGCTTGGACACTCAAAGGCTCCACTCCTACTATAAACCTAGGCTTTCCTACATCCCCCGAGAACCCTGGGCTCGCCCCTGCCTGGTACTGAGGGACTGGGACAGACATTTGTGTCTACAGAGCAAGGGAGCGATGCTACTTACGGTCATTGCTGAAGTCATCCACTAATATGATTTCCTTGATCAGATTCATAGGGGTGCGGTTTAACACACTGAGAGATGGGAAGAGGGAAGATCATTATGACGTCTAATGGCAAATATGTGCATTAAATTGAGTTTAAAACATATACCATTGCATTTGAGAAAGAAAAACTCAAAGAGCAGCTAAAGGGCTTGTCCAGGCCCCTGGCTCCCCCGTGACCACTGGCAGAGAACTCTGTCTTAGTGAGTGAATGCCACCACCACTCACCTGGCACCAAGGCAAATGCAGGAGTCATCCTCAATGCCCCCCTCCCTGAACCTCCACACCAAACCAGTGACCAAGAAAGATGGGCTGGTTCGACTTGCAAATGTGACTCGCACCACTGTCATCTCTTACACCTGCTCCGACCTCTTGTACAGTTTATTACGGTAGCCTTGACCTGCCCAGGCCATCCTCCTGGGTCCCCCGGAGCAAGCTTTCTGATCTCCAGTCATGTGAGATTGTCTTGCTGATGCAGACAAATAATCTGACAACCCCTCCTTTGTGGCTCCCCACCATCTACACCCCAAACCCTCAGCATGCTCTTCAAGGCCGCCTGTCACAGCCTGGAGCCAGCCCCCGTTTCCAGCCTGCTCACGCCCAGTAATGCAGAGCCTGTCCCCCTACTGCGGCCACGGCTTGAATGCCCATCCTCTGCCAGGAGACCAGTTCAAATGTCACTTCCTCTCTAATAGCTTTCCCAGCCACTTAGTGAGAATTAATTGCTTCCTCCTCGGGGATTCCTCAGCAGTTGTATCTGAAGCTTCCCGCGGCTTGCACTGCTGCCTGACTGGGGGTTGGTTGTGCTGGACCTGGTCATATCCTCAGGGACAGGTCATATCCTTGTCAGGTTACCTCTTCATTGCCAGAGTCCAGCACAGCCCCTTGGCCCATTACCACCCCCTCCAGGGACATTTAGTGCTCACCTACTATGTGCTTGGCACTGGGTGTGTGATGAGGAACAAAAGAGACATAAGCTCTGCCTTCCAGAAGCTTGTGGTCTAGCAGCTACTTACGACAAGCTGTGCGATCTTGGGTGAGTCACTTGACTGTTCTGTGCAGTAAAGTACTCCATCTATAAATGGGGATAAATGTAGTAGTAGCCACTTCACAGGGCTGTTGGGAGAGCTAAAAGACTAAAGGAGGAAATGTATCTAAAGCATTTAGCAGGGTGTCTGGCAATAAGTGATGAAACTTGGTAGCAATTATTATTATTTTGTGTATCATCATGATTTTTTGAATTGACTTAATTTACCCTCCTGTGCTGTGGCTCTATATCCCCAGGGCAAGGCTGGGTTTTGGAGTTCACTCTGGGTGTCAGGCTGGATCCCACTTCTCCTGAACACCCCAAACCACATGGCTCCTCAGAAATACTCCTGGGCAGTACCATCCACCATAGAACGCCTGGAGCTATCCATGTGTTGGGGAGGGGGATCGGATGGGCCGAGGCGCTGCGCATGTCCCTCCTCTCAGCCCTGGTTCTGGCGAGCCACCTTTCTAAGAAGGCTCGGGGCAGATCCTTGCCTCGAGCTACCTTTATTCATGAAGCCTTAACTCTCACCATGGCAACGGGTGTCAGGTAGACAGAGGAGCCCCAACACCAAGCCTTGAGCCCTCAGGTGGGAGGTGGGAACCAGGAGGGCCAGCAGGTGGCGGGAGGAGACCCTCACCACCTCACCGTGATCTTTGGAGAGAAAACACAGGCAAACTCAACAAACAGTGGCTAATCAGGGAGGGAGGGAGGGGAGGGAGGCAGCGAGAAAGGGAAAACCTGCCTGAAGAATACCCTCTAATGAGGTTTGATTATGGCAGCAGCTTCTGCATGCGATTCCCCAAATCCCTGCCGGCTCTTTGAAATTCAAGAGTTCTCTTCTGCGAACATCAAAAGGTAAATCGCATGTGGCTCTGTGCTGGTTGAACTGAGAGATGATTAGCGAATAAAAAATGCCCAGGGTTTAAACAAGAAAAAAAAAGAAAGAAAGAAATCATCAGCAGTAAGTGCTAATTAGACCATTTCCTGGTAACACCTGGCTTGTTTTTGCTCCTCTGATCACAGCAATTGGAGTGATGGTGGGGGGCTTCCTGAAAGTGGCCCTGGGCTGGGCTGGGCGGGTGCTCTGGGCTCCAGGGTGGCCGGTGGAGGAGAAAGGTCCAGGGTAGCCCAGGGGGCCGTCCCTCCCGCACAGTCCATCCCCATGCCCACCCCCCTGGCCCCTTTGCTCTCATCACTTCTCTGGCCAGCTCGCAGCACCAGCACCCTCCATGACAAAGCCATGTTTTCCCCTGCTTCTGCGCCCCGGGGCTGTTCCAGGCCCTCTCCTTCCGCAGCCTCAGCACAGCACGGCAGGGAGGGCTTACCTCCCTGGCATATCCAGGTCACGGTGTGCCTGGGAATCCTGCTACACCTGAGTCTCCTGTAGACACAGCTCACATCCCCGCCCCAGGATGCTGTGCAGGCAGTGTCTACACTTTCTGCTTTCTGCCTGCTGCCCTAACCGTGGAGCCCACGTGGGCACCCCGAGAGGAGGTGGGCTTGGCGGTGTGGGCAGCGTGGGAGGCCAGGAGGCCCCCACTGCCAACTAGCTGTGCAATCCTGAACAAGACGCCAGGCCGCCTTCCTTTCCATCTGTAATTACATTTTTCTTGTAAGGGCAGGCGATATTAATACTTGACCTACTTCACAGGCTTTTGTGCGTATGAAATGAGGAAATGTATTTGAAATTGCTTTGTGAACTCCACGGTCTCTATGCAGGCAGGGTTTATCAAACGCTCCATAAATACCAGCTGAATGAAGACCTAAGGCTGGCTGAGAAGTTGACTTGTTCTGGAGCAGACTGGCGTGGGTTGAGGCCCTGAACCTGTCCAGCCTCCATTCACCAGCTGGGGAGCTCCAGTTAGTACTGAGCCCGCAGCACCACCACTCCCTCAGCTGCGTGAAAGGCGCTTAGCACTGTGCCTGGTGCACAGCCGCTGCTCTTGGAATCTGAGTGTTGATAGTCATGACATTGGTCTCAAAGTGTGATCCCAGAGCCAGTAGCATCAACGTCACCTGGGGGGCCCACTCCAGGCTCATGAGCTAGAATATCGGGGGATGGGGCCCAGGAAACCATGTTTTAACAAGCCCTCTGCACTGCTGCCTACCCACTGGGGGTGCATCACCTGTTGTCACCTGTATAGGCTCAACTGGAACCAGGTATTGTTTCAAGGCCTTTACCTGCCTGAGCTCATTTACTCTTCTCCACAATCATGCAAAGCAGTTATTACCACGAGTCCTTGTTTTGCAGAAAAGGAAACTGAGGCAGAGAGGTGAAGGAGCTGGCCCAGGTTCACGTAGCTGGCAAGGGCAGAGCAGCCAAATCTGGCCCCAGAGTCCGATTTCTTAACCACCTTAACCTGAGAAATTGCTCCTCTAAATCTAGGACTTTACAAAGAAGCGACAGTGAGAGACTCGGGATATGAAGTATTGATCATGTGGGCTCCAGAGCCCCATGTGTGTGTAGAGCCAAAGGAGACCCCCAAGGAAGGGGACAACGCTGGGTTTCACATATACACAGGGGCCTGCTGCAACACCAAAGATAAACCATTTTGCCGGGCTTTTCTCTCTCCTTAAGTGAGAGAAGTCCCCTCACTCACCTAGGCTGTGATTCTCTCCCTCCCCCCACTGCCCACCCCTTCATGCTTCTACTTGGCTCTGAGGGTCCCATAGGGGTCTTCCCAGCCCCTCGCCCTCCAGCTAACTCAGGAGCTCAGGCCAGAGAGCTTGGGCAGGCGTGAGCAGAAAGGCAAAGACCTGGCCCAGTGCTGGGAGGAGGGAGGAGAGGAACAGTGTCCCACCCCCACCTCCCCACCCCCAGTTCCTCGAGCCTCTTTCCTTTCTGAGGGCCTGGCAGCAAAGCCATCAGAATTCTAGAACATTAAAGATGAAAGGTGCCTTAGAGAAGACCCTTTCATCTCTGGTGAAGTGATGGGAAGTGATTCTCAGTCAGTCCCTTCTCAGTAGTGGAAGGAGGTTCAGAATCCCAAGGCAGTGAGTGATACCTGGCCATGGAAGCTTCTAGAAATAATCTTCGCCCTGACCGGTTTGGCTCAGTGGATAGAGCGTCGACCTGCGGACTGAAAGGTCCCAGGTTCGATTCCAGTCAAGGGCATGTAACTTGGTTGCGGGCACATCCCCAGTAGAGGGTGTTTAGGAGGCAGCTGATCGATGTTTCTCTCTCATCGATGTTTCTAACTCTCTATCCCTCTCTGTAAAAAATTAATAAAATATATCTTAAAAAAACAAAAACATTTAGAAATAACCTTCCTTGCCTCCCTCCCTAAAACTCACTTCCATCCAGCCTGCTGCTGATGTAAACACACGTCTGTTCACACGTGGCTTTCAGGCCCCCAATCTGCTGTTTGTGTGCATTACACTGGGGCCTGAGCCAGGGGCCCGGCTTACATCGGAAGTCTGAGAGGCAGCACACAGGTCCACGGCTCTCCGCAGAATGCCCAGCATCGGGTGTGGTCTGGCACTTCATGGCTACCCTCTGAAAACTCTGTTGATGGCCCCAAGCCCCCTCCCAGGGCACAGGGCACCAGGACGTCGGAGACAGACCTCCAGGCCAGGGGACAGAGGCACTGGGACCACAGCCCTGGCTGCCTCCCACTTCCACACAGAACCACAGGATGTTGAAAGGAGTGTCCTGGCCCCTGTCCTCCATTCACCACACACACCCGGACTTCAGACTCCAACTGGGGCCCCAACTGAAGTGAGGCGCTCTGTGGACTTAAAGCTCAGTGTACATTTAACATGTTAATGTTATTATAAAGTATCGTTATTACTATAATGGAGAGGTGGAGGAGCAGCTGGAAGAGGAGAAATATGTCTTAGAACGAAAAGGGCTGAGTCTGAGGGCAGCAGCTGAAGAGCTCCCAAGAACATAAACAGGGAAGCTTGGGGGGCCTGCGGCCTCCATGTTATAACACCCCCAAAATGCTCCTGAGACAACCCCAAGAGGAAGGTTTATTGGGGGGAATGTGACAGAACATGAGACATCGAATACACTTTTACCACCACCTTTACCGATCTGGTTCCTGACCTGCTCACGGTCACAAGGCTAGGAAGTGGCTGGGTAGAAACTTGACCCCAGGTCCTCAGACTCTAAGTGTGGTGTCCTTTAAGAACCCCTCAGCCTCTTGTCTTTTGAGTGCTCACTAGGTGTGCAGATAGAGGGATGGCCAACATTGATCAAGGGCTGGTCCAGATCGCAGTCCCCTAATGGTGAGAGTGTGTGTGTGAGTGAGAGAGTGCGTGAGTGAGTGTATGTGTGTGAGTTTGTGTGTGAGTGTGTACGAACGAGCATGTGTGTTGAGGAGGACAGAGGTGTGTGGCATCAGAAGACTCCTTGAAGGAAGAGGAGCCATCCTGGGAAGGAGCTTCTCTCAGATGCTACAGTGTCCTCATGGAAATATCCAGTGGACACGCCCAGACACAGCCATATGTGGGGGGCTGTGGCTGGCACTTGGGAACCAGTATCTCTGCTGCCGCGTGCTGCTCTGCCTGCAAGGCCCCAAACCTCTGTTCTCCCTTCACCAGAACAGACCCGGGTAAATGGGACCACCCCTCGCCCCCGACCCCCCTACATACCCACCCCACACTGCTTGCAAGTCCGAAAGGTAAGTTATTAGTCAACCGTGAGACTCGCGGTGACACGTGGCAGTGACCGGCGCATTTTCTTGTCAAAAACTGAAGTCTTGTTGGAAATATAATTCAAATCAGGAGGCTTGTGGGATGGACGCAGAAGCCAGGGCAGACAGGGCAAGCAGCTGGTGGAAGGACCCAGCCAGCCAGTCACCAGGACATCTGGGCAGCAGACAGAGCTGCTCCCGTGGACAGAGGGGAACGCGGGACTGAAGCCTGTGTGTTTGGGCAGGTCCCTCCCTACCCTTCTAAGGGATACACTGACCCTGCACAGTGGACACTCATCATGAGTGACAGGTGTCACAGAAGACTTGGTGCCCGCCATCAGGGGGACCCTATTGCTGACTCCCTCCTGCCATTGGGTGCTTCCCCACCTGCCAATAGCCATGCAGGTGGGGCAAGGAGAGAGAGAAGGTGTGGCTTATTCATTGAAATGACTAGAGACTTTGCTGTGCTTGGTTGTCTCCTTCTTAGGCACAGAGAAGGGGAGTCAAAACAACCAGGACCTCCTAAGAACCTGGCAAAAAATTCCCGGCCAGGTCTCTGGGGCCTGTCTGTGTTTTAAGGAGTGTTCTGCAGGGGGAAAACACTGGAACTTCTGCATATCAAACATGCATGCAGGCCACAGGGCACACAAGCAAGGCCCTACCTATCAGAGCAACGGCAGGGCCCAGACTAGGCCCTGAGGGTGGATGGAGAGGCCCAAGAGGGAACAGGGCTGAAACAGTGGTGGCTGAGAAAGCAAATGTTAGCCATGACCATCGGGCTGCTCTGGTTTGCACCATCGGCCCTGTCGGGTGTGGGAGGCTGTGGAGAGGCAGGTGCTGGGATAGGCAGCACTTGGTAGACCCCAGTTCTAATCCCGGCCTGATGCTGGGGGCGGGTACATACTCTGCCTCTCAGGCTTCAGCTCCTTCAGCAGCTGTGAACTTAGAACTCATATTCTAGAGGCGGTCAACACAGTAGCCAAGGGCAGGGCTCTACCAGGCCCTCCATGACTCCCAGTGACCTTCTGCAAGTTACTCAACACCTCAGGCCTCCATCTTTCCCCTGTGGATTGGGAGCTGTGAGGAGTGACCAAGTAGATGCACCTGGAGTGTGTTGAACAGTGCCTCGCGGGTGGTTAGAAACACTTGATATTCTTATCACAAGGCCAGTCCCCCCCAGCAAGCAAACGAGCCCTCACCAAGTGCTGGCTCAGGCGGGCTGAGCGACCTGGAAGACTGTCCTACCTGCGGATGGTCCTGAGCAGGGTGGAGCGGGCCTCGTTGTGGAAGGTGATGATGATGCTGGTGGGAGGCAGGTCCCTGCAGTACATCAGCAGCGTGCATCTGGGGACGAAAGACAGGAGACAGCTATGACCTTTGGGGGCAAAGCAGATGGCAGGGGCTGGAACCACGGGCATCGTGGTGGTCACCAGCATGGACAGATGCCTGGCGTCGAATGGGGCAAGACCCCAGGGCCTCACCCAGCCCGACCAGGGGCAGGGAAGCTCCGAAAATGACTGAAGCTCAATTTCCTACCACCTTGGGGAACCTGGGCTTGGAGTCAACTTAGGCTGAGATTCAGAACATAAATGTGGGATTTCTCCCACGCCCCAGTTAGTACCCAGTGGTTCCTAGAGCCACACAAACCTGCCCCCAAATCTTGGGCTCTGCTCCCCAGTCCGGGTCCATCCAGCTGACAGAGGCTGCACATGCTCTGGGCCAGCAGCTGCAGCCCACCCCATCATGCTAACCCCGACCTCCCGCCCCACACACCAACATCTGGCAAGTATACAGAAGCTGAGCCCTCAAACCCCAGCATAAATAATAGAACCCCATCTCGAAAAAGCATTCATTTCCACGTGTCCAGGATCATTTCGTATGACAATTACATCTGGGGTACCTTCAATTTAGTACCTTTCTGCAAGTGAAAACTGTAGCCCACAGCCCGGAAATTACTATAATAACAAAAATAAACCTGCCGAGAGGGGCTGTCCCTGCTTCTTACTCTTTCGGGGGCTGTCCACTCAAACAGAGGTGCTGGGGTCCAACCCCAGCAGGTCCAGGGGTCCCCAAAGGTGTGGACGGAGTCGTCGAAGAAGGAATGACACGGAGGCAGCGTTCAGTTGACCAGCATGGTTGGGTTCTCTCTCCTGGTTCTATCTAGGATCTCCAGTCAGGTTCTGTTGTCAGGTTCTGTCGCTAGGTTCTCCAGACTGGTTCTGTCCAGGATCTCCAGCGAAGTTCTGGTTAGGAGCTCCAGCCAGGTTCTGTGTCCATGTTCTCTTGCTAGGTTCTCCAGCTAGGTTTTCCAGGTTCTCCAGCCAGGTTCTGTAGCCATGTTCCCTCTCTAGGTTCTCCAGCCAGGTTCTGTTTAGGTTCTCCAGCTAGGTTCAGTCACCAGGTTCTAGTCAGGTTCTCTTGCCATGTTCTATTCAGGTTCTGTAGCCAGGTTCTGTCTCTAGGTTCTTCAGCCAGGTTCTCTCGCTAGGTTGTGTCTCTAGGTTCTGTGGCCAGTTTCTGTCCAGGATCTTTTGCCATGTTCTCTCCAGCGAAGTTCTTCTGTCTCTAGGTTCTGTGTAGGTTCTGTGTCTAGGTTCTGTGTCTAGGTTCTGTGTGTAGTTGTCTTGTTACATCTGTATTTATACCAGTTGATTCCAATCCTATCAATCTCTATTCCAAAGGTTAGGGCGTTTCTTATCTCCATTCTAGGGAGTAAAGATTATGTAGCTTAAGCATGATTGTTCGTAGTTAAAGTGATTAATTACCTGCCTGGCACTTAGTTAAGGGGTTTTGTTCCCTCACTAACTTCAGGGGAAAATCCCTACCTGGGGAAACAACCTTTCTCAGAGAGGTGACCTTGGTTAAAACACATAGTGCCAAGAAGGTGAGCAAACATATTAAGAACAGTATGCCATATATGCCAGGTCCCTTGAAACAGCAAGGATGGACTGGCTCCCGGCACGGAGGGATATTAAACAGGAAGTAAATAACAGGTTTGGTGAGTTAAACATTTCCTTTCTTCGTATTCCAATTTCTCCCTAGGTTTTTAATTTGGGGTCCAGAAACCCAAGGATGGACTTCAAGGGGGCTGTGAACTCTTTGAAATTGTTTGAAAGCTGAGTATGGAAATGCGCTCCCCCTCACCCCCTTTTTTAGGGAGATGGTGCATAGTTTTATGTAGATTCTCAAAGAAATCTGTGGCCTAAAATACTTAAGAGCCTCATTCCTAGGCCAGTGGGCCTGACGTCCCTTTGGCTTCACTGGTAATTCTGAACCCTTTTCCCTAAAGAGCAAAGACTGAATGAGAGAACTTTTGGGATCAGGACCACCCTCCCACACAAGGGTCCGGGCACCATGGCAGCTGTGGGACCCTGGGCAGACCACCTGCCTCTCCAGGCTGCTGTGCGCTCATCTGTAAGACAGGGCTCTCCTGCTAAAGGTTCTCACAGCATCAGTAATCAAAAGCTTTGGTTAGAGCTGAAATTCAATAGCATGGTTGATTTAAAGGGAAGGTCACAAATATGCTGCAACTGAAGCTCAAGTTGTGGCTGCAGACCTGAATTTACCTTTCTAAGCCTCAGTTTCTTTATCTGGAAAGTGGAGACAAGTTTTTCACTTGTAGACTCCTCCCCGCCCCAGATTATTAATAGGTGGCTGAGAAATAGTAACTCATTTATAGCATCAAGTTCAAATCCACAGACTCCTCCTCAATTGGGTGGAGTCAGATCTTGCAGGGGCTGGAGAGGCGTCTTTGGTGAGTGGACTGGCCAATGCAATAGTGGGTGAGGGGTTCTGGGAGGCTAGAGGAGGAGAGCGAGCAAAGGAGGTGGCATCAATGTCAGAGAGGGGAACCTGCGCTGTGATGTCCATTTGAATCCTGGGTCTGCCAGGCACTGCTGTGTGCCCTTGGGCACGTCATTTACCTTCTGAGCCGCAATGTTGTCACCTATACAATGTGGACAAACACCTCCCTCCTGGGCTTGTCCTGAAGACCGCAGGCATTGCAGGCAAAACACCTGGTGTTCCGCAGATGCTGCGTAAACAGCAGCTATCATCACACTGAGGCCGAACCAGCCTCCGCGCAGTGTTCAGTATTTCTGAATGAGAGCCACGAAGTCATAGTTCAGAAGAGGAAGGGGCTTTGGAGAGAGCCCAGGCCAGTCTCCTAAACTGGGCAGAAATTTGTGGCGTAACAAGCCTGGGTTGTTCTCTCCTGGGCCGCAGCCCTCCAGCATCCTATGCACGAGGATCAGGAATTCTGTAAGCGCCTGGACCATGCACAGGCTTTGGGAGGGCAGGTAGCTAGGTGGTGCCTTAGACCTCAGAGGCATGGGCATCTTGCTCCTGGGACTTAGCACTATCTGCTTCCTGCCCCTGCGCACGGCTCCAGGTACCTGGAGTCATCCTTTATCTCATCTGATGTCATGACAGCCTCTGAGAACCTTTACTCCACAGATAAGAACAACTGAGGCTCAGAGTCTTGCTCAAGGTCACACACGAGCAGAGTGTCTGCAATGAGCTGAACCCAGGTCCCGTGACCTCTCACCTGGCAAGTGTCCCTAGTGTCCCACTGTGAACTCACCCTGGTTAAGGCACAGAGCTGGAGGGGCTGGTGCTGGGTGGGGCACACCTGCCTGAGCCCTGTGCACCAGGCACCTCCCCTCTGAGGCCCAGATGGGCCACAGCCCTGCCTACAGACGAGCACAGGACACAGGCAGCAACAAAGCCAAGGGCTGAGAAAAATTCTTACAATCTGACGCAGTGAGGAGAGGCGGCTCTCTGCGAGAGCAATCTAAAAGATTAATCAAACAGCGAGATCTATTAGGGACACGAGGGGAATGAGAAAGGCTGCCAACACTGAGATCTGGCGCCGGCAGACGGACCAGAAAGCATGTTTATAATTTATTAAGGACTTGGGGGTTTCGCTGGAGAGGAGAGTCAGTGAGCAGAAAGGATAGGCGTGGGGGTGGGCCAAGGAGGAAGGGCGGGACCACCGCTCTGTTGAGAGACAGGTGCCAGCCCGGGGCTGCCGTCCCGATTGCCACAGAAGCTCCTGAATAATACACACCCCTCTCAGCCGATTTTCCACCAGCGGCTTCTTTTTTTCTTTAAAGAAAGAGTCTATTAAGACTCTTCATTTTCCTAAGTTCAGCTGGGTCTCAAAATGCTTCCTGAACCACCAACTTCTTGAGTGTTCAATGCCACTTATTGGCAGAGGTTGCTTCCCAGAGGGGGCTCCGAGATGCTCACGCCTGGCCTGGGGTTGGAACTTCTCCCTCTTTTGTCTCTTCCCATCTCTCCACCAGCCAATCGCTGCTCCCTGCCACCCCTACCCCCCACCCCTGCACACGTGCCAATCTGGGCATGTCAGAAACTCACTTAGTGAGGATCACTGTCAGTTACACAGAAATATAAAGCTATGTACATGCCTTTCCTTTTACTGCACAAGCTCATTAAACTGACAGCAGCCTGTAAACAGTGTTATGAGGATCACCCCCCGACTTTCTCAATGGGCAGCAGGGGCCCCTGGTGGCCTGTAGGGTGCCTGCTGGGGCAAGGACCGGGGTTCTCTGGCTCCTGGACAAAGTCTCCCTCCTACAGCACGCTGCCCTTAGGGAAGAGGAGACAGCATAAAGTATAAACATTCGGGATTTTATTCTGGAGCACAAAATTGGAGGGAGTGGCGGGGAGGCAGCCTCAGTAACTGTGAAGCAAGGGAGAGCTTGATTATTATTATTAAAACTAGAGGCCCAATGCACGAGATTCGAGGAAGAGTAGGCCTTCCTTCCCTCCGCTGCCGGCACCGGCTTCCCTCTGCCACCAGGCTATCCTCACAACCCCAGCTTCGTCCAGAAGGTCATCGGAAGGACATCAGTCTAATTAGCATATTACGCTTTTGTTATTACAGATATGCATGCAAAGCAAAGCCATTCTGGCTCCTCCAGATCTGACAAAGGCCCCGAGTCTGAGAAGACAAGCTCTTGGAAGGGGTTCGGGCATCCCAGAGGGGAGACTGAGGGCAGCCACATAAAGGGGAAAGGTCATGCCACATGGGGTAATGAAACCCAGCAGGCCTGTGGTGGGGCACATGGGGTCAAATCTTCCTCCCTGGGAGCCTGGCAGAGACTTGACTTCTCTAAGCCTTAGCTTCCTGGTTCGTGAGGGTGAAAATACCCACCTCAGGGAATGCTTTAAAACTATTCCCAGTGACCCCCACTGCCAGGCACTGTAGTGAGCACCTCTGAAGGCTCCGAACAGCCCGATGAGGGGGGGGTGTTCAATGGGGTCACTCATGAGGACACTGAGGCAAAGGGAAGTGGTCACTCTCTGCAGCTAGTGACCCC